AATTCTCAGGAAGATATGCTGATTTAAGGTCCGTCATCAACTAAAAGACAAATAAATGATATGTATGACTTCTTAGCCTAGTTAAAGTCTAGTGTGGGGTAGTGATAATCCCCCCAGCCATTATAGAGTAAAAGTGCGTAATAGCATTAACTCAAGAACAAGAAGAAGAAGAAGAAGAAGAACTGTTATGTAGAAATAATTATAAAATATCAAAAAAATGATGTTTACTTTAAATTCTAATATCAATTAATTTAATCTAATATTCATTTGCAATTATCTATTTTCTTATGTCAAAACAATTTTATTAGTAATTTCATTAATTTATTTTAAAAATAAACAGACGACTGCATGGTATCCGCCGTGTCAGTTCCATATTCTCCAAACTAATATGTGGGTTGAACTTAGAATTTTCATAATAAATTAGAAATACATCGCTTGATGTGCAATATTAAAGTATTTATTATTTATTACACAACAATTTTTAAATCTATGTACACAACTAGTGTTTATATATATGAATATATATGCACAATATATATACATTGTATTTATGAAATACGTAACAATAACTATAAAATAAATGCTGAGTATATAGTTTCTGTGGTGCAATACATTTGGCAAAGATTTTCAATTAGAATCTCTTTCGGCAAAAATATCAAAAAAAAAAAAAATAAATATCGAAAATCGTATCGCATTGCTCAAAGATATAAAACTGAAAACAAAAAGTTTTGAAAACAACAACAGCTACGCATAAGTAAAGTCCGTCACGGCCTTTCTCAAAGAATTAAAATCAGCATGATCAGTCATTGCCGAGTAGTAGAGGAAAGAAATGCTCCTCTGAGTGCTGCGGTACGCGATTATTATACTTTTCCCGGTCGATGTGAAGATTCAAAATCTTGTGAGCGTACGTTAGAGTGTGTACGTTTGTGTGGTGCAGATGCGTTACGCTTTGCCAAAATTTTGCACTACACAAGAATCAAAATTTTTGAATTTTCAAAAAAAAAAAATCGGAAATTTAAACGGAAATTGACTACTAACAAAATATTAACTAAGAACTTCTCAAAAAAAATTGTTAAAATTGAAATTAATTAAATAGTAAATGAAAGTTAATTGAATACTTATTAAAAGCTATATGTAAATCCAAGTAACGTTATTGCTCAATGAAGCTTTTATAATACGCTTCTTTACTTATTATACATGTTTTTTTGTTTATACAATAACAGTATCCTTAACAAAATTAAATTTGAGAAATTCATACAATTCCCCAAATTAGGAACGAACGACACGAAAATTGCACACGAAATTACACGAAAAACTAGACTAACTTGAATCGACTTTGATTGGATTTTTGAATTGGTTTGACGGTAAACGATAAAAGATAAAATTGAAATTAATTTGAAAACAGCAAAACTGTCTTTGCATGCCAAAGATTAAAAAGACAAAATAACGTTTCACACGAAATTATTATTTCGAATAATGCAAAGTTTAGCAGCTGCAGTTCTAACTTTTCAAAATTTGCATGCCACATATTAATATAATAAAAGTACCTATGGCGCCACTACAACCGCCCACTGTGGACGAACGCCCCATGGGTGCTAATAAAACAGAACAAATAAATTCGAATATAGTTCACATATCAACAACACCAAATTTGCAACATGAAACAGCTGCTGACGTAAAAATAAAATCCAAACATATCAAATCTACCGAAACAATAACAACAACAGAATTTTCCAAAACAACAACAAATAATGGAACATATATCAAACCACAATTACAAGATACAAAATCCAAATCCACTGATAATAACAAATTTTTAGAAAAAGTTCTTTCAGCAATGCGCAGCGCAAAGCCGCATATACAAACAGCTTCTAATGCAACAACTATAGCATCAAAACCTTTAATAAAACCTCCAATGCCAACTGCAAAGAATAATTTTTCCAATTTTGATTTATCCAAATGCAATGGCAGTAATTCTTCCCTTTCCTCCAATGCAACGAATACATCCAATTCCACGCCTTCACCACGTCCACCTGTGCCTCCACAAACACAGCAACGCATACGCAAGCAAATGAGGACATTACCAAAGCAGCGCGAACATAGTCCTGTGCCAACTGAATTATCCGCCAATATCATTAAAAGATCCAAAAATTTACCTAAGCCACAATATGATTCAGATGACGGCTTATTATTGCCTCTGAAGACATCCAATCAAAGCCTTAAAAGTAACTACTCCTATCTTAACAGCAATGGTTATCACAACGGGGTTTCATCGACTACAAATGGCATGCATGGTAATGACACTTTACATGTCGATGAAACACCAGTTGAAGTATCACTTAAAGTTCCTCTCCCAAAATCAGATACAATTTCATCAACAACTTCTGCAAATACCGTACTAAGTCGTGCTTCGGAACGTTTGCGACTTTTGAATACACGTTCACCGAGTCCCGCGCTATCGATACGTAGCACAACTTCTTCACGCTGTTCTTCACTTAGCAGTTCCTTGACATCTGCTTCTTCTAATATTAATTATGGACGCCTACAAACACCACCAAGGCGTGTTTTTCCACAAACATATACTCGTGGTGATTCTATGGATGCATACGAAATGCGCAACCTTGAACAATCTCCAGTTGTTTTTGATGCAAATCTATCATTTGTACTTGGTTGTCAAAAACAACCAGTACGTCAGTCATTACGTCCGTCGCCATCATTCGAGGATCCTCGTACATCATCTGCTTATTTAAGCGAAAAAATACAAAATTTTCTACGTCGCACAGACCATGTACAAGAGGAATGGTCGGCTTTGGGCAGACGTTCCCGTCGTTTGGGTTCTGCCAGTCGTACTGATAGTGGACGTAATACACCAACTAATAATTCAATTTACGACGATTATGATACAATCAGTTTAATTGAACGTCAACGTGAAAGAAATAGCATGGAGCGTGGTAGTTCTGTAGGACGTACACGCTCTACACAAAATATTCTAACTAAAGCATTTCAACTTACAAAAAAACTGCCGCATACACCAACTTCTCGCTCAAATTCAATTGCTAGAGAATTATCTGAAACCGATGATGATCGTACAATACATGAAGATGATGATAATGCATTTGATGAGGTATGAAATCAATTTTCGGATATTTATAACTTTGCAAATAAAAGACTAAATAAATCTGCATATATAAACCCACCAATCTTAAAATCAACTTCTTCTACTCAATGATAATGTAGTATTTTTATTAGTTGTCAGAAGAGTCTTTTTTGCCTATTACTTACCAGTAAAGTTTTTATACTATTTTAGTGTCGTCTAATAATACCGCTTTGGAATAAACTGTTATTGAATAGGTTTTTATAGAACATCTATTGTTTATGAAAACTTTTCGCAATTAATAAGTTATTTGTATCTTATTAACTGAGTAGAAGTGTTCAGATAATTTTATTTTTTTTTTGTTTTTGTTTTTATTAATTTTAATTTATGAATACCTTTATAAAAGGATAATTTTTGTTCCTCCCTTAATCCGGTAAGAATAAAAAAGTTTTTTTAAGTATTTTTAGAAACTAAAAAATGTTTGCCTATATAATTTAATTTTGTGTCCCTTATAAAAATATACAATTAAATCTTACGATAATATAAATCATATGAATATATATATAGAACAAATTTATTTTTACTTTTAAAAAAGTTAAGAAAAATCAAAAATATGTTTCACTTAACAAAGAAAATAAAGCATAGAGAGATTACCGAGTTATTAACAATTTTTTTATTATTATATTATATCCTTACTTCTAAGATATTTTATTCACTATATAATTATTTGCTTTCACAGTATAAATATATTGTGTCGCTAGTATAACTCTTTAAACAGTTATTAATAAGCAAGAATAAACAATGTGACGTTTTTTTGGTGATGTAAGCTAATAAAATGAGTTTGTCCAATTGTTAATATTTCTTGTTTGGTTCTTTCCCTGGTTTTTTAGTTTTAAGTGCAGTTAGCTGGCATTTTTATTTCTTTGCTTTTTTTAATACTTGTAGATGCCATTGTGATTTTTGTTTATTTTATTATATATATTTGAATTATGTTAATCACTGTCTGGATTTTTGAGTGAAGTGATATGATATAGCGGATAAATTGTAATGCATTGTAACATTTTCCTCTCTGACCATTTTTTTAGCATTTGTTTTTCTCTCAAACTTCCGATACGATTAAATCTAAAATTGTTCTAAATAAACACAAATCTTTACAGACTAATTCTTATGTATTTAAAAAAAGAATAAATAATTTACAATTAAAAATTGTTTTATTTTTCTTATTAACAAAATATCGTGTTTTTCCATTTTGCGTAGGCCATGTTCTTAATAGTTTTATAATAATTGTTTATGTTCTAAATTTTTGCAAGTAAAGGCCTCCAATTATAAAAAATAAACACATTACCAAAGAACAATATAATTGGAATAATAAAAATTTTGTTTACAAAATCGCGAATTATTGAGTGATGACATCTCACTAACAGTTCCAAAATAAAAAGATAGAAAGCTCCATTTTCCTGTCCCACATAATTTTTCAATTTATATTTTATTTTTGACGTGGGAAAATAAATTTTATTTTGGAACTTTCACACAAAAATCTGACTGCCAATTTTATAAGTTGGGCACGACATTGACAACTTTTTCAGGAATAATTCTTAAATAAATAATATTTAAAAAAAAAGTGAAAAAAAAATGCAGATCTCATTTGCTCTATTTTTATATATTTTGAACATGTATAAATGTTGGGAAATGATTCACTGCCTGTTATTAAAACAACAAAACTATATGCGATTGTTTTTCTAATTTATAATTCTCAGGTGTAAAATATGTTACGATATCAAATTAAAAAATTAAATTCATAGAAATCAATGTCAAGTTTATATAGAAACACATTCGGAATATTAAAGATTTTTAAAACAAATAAAAATTGTTTTTATTATATTAATTAAATTTGATTTTATTTTAGTTATCTGAAATGGCAGTTGACTTAGCCGAAGAACGTTCGACAGCGAATATGGCTACAGAGCGCCTAGAAGCTGAGACTGCTGAACGTTTGAAACTTGAAAAGGAGCTTGCCGAACAGCAAAATAAAGTAAAGAATCTACAAGAAACAAGTGAGAAACTAGAAATAGAATTAATTTGTGCGAAGTCCGATCTAAATGGTATATCTGAGGATGAAGATGCAGAAAATGAAGAGAATGGTAGTACTGGTAACAGTGTTTATAAGCTGAAGTATGAACGAGTGGCACGTGAATTGGAATTCACTAAACGACGTTTACAGACACAGCACGAACATGATTTGGAACAGCTTGTCGGTCTCAAAAAACAATTGGAAAAAAAGGTAATGCGAGCAGTTTAAAAATAACTTTTTAAGATCTATAAAAGCTCTAATTTTTTTTTTTTTCAACTTTTACAGCTTGCAGACGCATATGAGGAAGTTGAAGAACAACGGCAAGTAGTGGGACAGTGGAAGCGTAAGGCTCAAAAAATGACCAATGAAATGAATGATTTGCGCATGCTCTTGGAGGAACAAAATGCACGAAACAATTTACTTGAAAAGAAACAACGTAAATTTGATGCTGAATGTCAATCGTTACAAGTGAGTTTTTATTATATTGTATAGATATATATACATTATTAGATATATCAATGCCCTTATTACCGAGGTCCTATAAATGTGCTTTACAGAGTGTGTTCTAACCAAATGGCATAGATGATAAATCATATATCAATATTAACCAAAATACAGTGCGTCTAAGAAAAGTCTATGCGAAAAAGCCTTATCATAAAACCCTCAACTTCTTAAAAGTTACATATATTTGGTTATGAAGGACGCTACAAAATAAATATGTACATATATTTAATAGTTCCTTATGTTTTTAGAATAACTTGAGTATGCTCTAATTTGAACATTTTGATCGAACTTGAAACGTTCGAGAGTTGCTCTAACAAATTTGCTTTATATTTTATTTTATTTTTGTATAATATAGACATCCAATATTTGAAAACCTTAACAAATGTTCAAAATGTTTCAGCGCAAAACCTATCCAACATTGAAATCTTCGAAGTTCCAAAAAGCTTCATAAATATATAAAGCTCTTATAATAAACAATATATAACATAATTAAATATATATTTGATTGTATGCATAGAATTGAAGTTGTATTCATTTTTTAAAGGATGGTGCACGACAGGAACGTCAAGCTCGAGATCGCCTATCAAGAGAAAAAGATGTACTTATTGCTGAGAAATTTACGTTGGATCAAACATTAGCGGTAAGTAAAACAACTGATTTATTTGCACATTTGGAATAGGTGTTATTAAACAATATTCAAGTAATGCAGTGTTTACAGCAATAGACTTCAACATTATTTCACCATAATTTTTTTGGTTTTAGCTATTCGATATATGATATATATGTAATTATATTAAATTTAATTATATTTTTTTTTATTTGTTGTTTTAAATTATATACTACAAATGTCTGACAAACTTTAAAAAAAGGGTGACATTACGTTTATTTACAAGCTATTCGCAAATGTTTGATCGTTGAAATCTAGATTTATTGTATAGAGGACAGAAGACTATAGAAATATGACTGTTTATGCATTTGACTATGTAAGAATCTCTTAAAAAAATAAAAGTCATTGTATATGTTATTATGCTGAATAATGATGGGTAATAAGAATTTTAGTAAATAAAATATTAAAGATAGTTACATGGTGTTTACTCGATGATTTGTTTTTTCTTTCATAGAACCAAAATTATACACTACGGATGTATAACATCTACAAGTATTCTCAGTAAATCAGTTCTATTCCAACAAAACTAATATGACTTAGAATGCAGTTTACTTTTATTTTTTGAGACAATAATTATTGAGAGAATTAATTTTAAAAATTATATTGGCATTTTTAAATATAAATTCGAATTCAAACATGCTTTTAATTTAAAAAAAATTAATAGAACAGAGTTTATTAAATTTTTTTGTACAAATGGACAATTTAAGACCTAATAAATTTTTATATATTTTGATATTCATAAACATAGTTAACTTGTTTTGTTTGATCATCGATGAGTGTAAAACCTACAAGAGTTTATGTGGTGTTACACCATGACTTCAATTAGCTCTTTTATACCATTATCATGACTTATTTTGGATTTTAGATATATCAGATATAGAGTGAACAAAAAAGTTTATTTAAAAATTTCTGAGAAAGCACTATAATATATTTAATTAAATATGATTCTAATATTGTCGAAAATATTATAACTCATAATAATTATAGCATTTTAAATCTCTTTTGAATAAAAAATCTCTTTCCAATAATTCTTTCCATACAATATGGCAGAAGTCTAATTTTTAATTTTGAAATATCCCTGGCTATAGAAACCAAAAAAGTATATGTATAAAATTTACTTCGTTGAATTTTAGATTTAAAACAGACATGAGAAATCACTACTTTAAGTATAAGTATTTAAAATATACGCTAAAGTTCGAATTACTATCAAAATATCAGTATCATCTATTTACTATATATATTCACATTTTTCTTTACATTATTTATTGAGCACACAAGTCAAAAACACCAACTAAATAGATCAGCCTTTCTTTAGAAATTGCAATTCTTAACTTTTCAGTTTCTTTAAATCTTAAAAACTAATACGTTGTCATTTTTTTCGACATCTATTTTGTTTCTATCTACATTCTATTACTAATAGAAGTTGTTTTTTAAATACGGTTTGATATATATCTGACATTATTATCATTTTGCAGTCTACTGCAATACTGCAATAATTCAGTCATAAATTATTTTACCAAATTATTATATTATCATTTGAAAATAATCGATGCACTAATAGTGTTTAAGTAAGAATTTAAGAGAAATAATATTCTAAAGATTACTTTCAAAAATTTCTTCATTCTATTTTTAATCTTATTATCTAAATAAATTCTGTTGAAATGTGAAATTACTTTGTTTATAATAATAAATATCCAATTGAGAGATTAATTTATTAAATATACAATCATATTCGAAAAAAAAGTTTGTAAGTCTTTTTGCTATATGTGAGTACAATCATTAGGAGTTGCTTTTTCTCTAGTTGACTAACAAAATAATCTACGGATTAAGATCAATAAATTGTCATTGATCCACTTTACAATCACTACGATTGATAAGCTAACTTCCACCAATATTTTCATAAGGCGAGAATATCTTGCGATTGATAAGCTAAGTTCTACCAAGATTTCCATGAGGCGAGAATATTTTTAACACTTTAAAGACGTATTTCTTTGTAATTATATCTTACTTACTTACTTTCTTACTTTATCAACCAAAATTAGTTTTTTTTTTATATAAAAATAGTAGTGAACTACAACAACAAAAATTTTTATTTATTTTAAAAAATTAAAAAAAAAAAAATTAAGAATAAATAATTATACTTTCACACAGTTGCCCACCTCTGTTAAATGGCACAAGATATTGGCAACGCTGCCGACATCTATGCAACAAGCAACCTTCTCCGTAGTAATCGTTTCTGCTGCTACGGCTTATCATCATGCGTTGCTGTTGTGTGTTCTACGCGCGCATATCTTGTATCTTGTTTACTTGTGCGTTACTTCAATGAATTTATCTGTAGTTGTGTTTATATTATCGGAGTCGATGTTGTTTTGTTGTTGTTGCTGGTGTTGTTGGTTATGTGTTTATGCTTTCTTTTATATGATAGCTGGTAGCTGTTCTTTCTGGTTATAAAAAAAGAAGTATGTAGAAAAATATTCTTTTTCTATAGTTCAACTCAAGTGAACGCAACTCAAGATACAGTACGACATATAATCGAACGTGCCGCATTTACTGTTCTGAGTTCCTGCATTTGAAATTGTTGTCAGTCGTAGCTCAACTTCGTGTCTTAAAGTTGTCTTGGATACTCTATTCTGTTGTGTTTTGATTACAATTGTAAAATAACAATCCAAAATAAAATTTATTTATATTTATTAATGAAAAAAAAATTTAAATCTTTAAAGTAAATAAAAACTTATGATAATATATTTAGTAAATATAAACTAAAAATAATAATAAAGCTTAAACAAAAATGTGACAAAATATGTAAAAAACAAACAGAAACTCTCTACAAAACGTGTTTAAAGAAATATTCTAAATTTTGTAGATACAATATTGTTGTCTACAAATTTAAAAGAAAAAACGTTGTGATCAACATAAGATCGATAGTTAATGCAACGGAAATTTTAACTTGAAGATATCAGTATCGGTTGCTGTTTTCTGTTGCTACTTTTAGTATTGTTGTTGTTATTGTTTATGTTAGGTTTGCTTGTAAACACGTCGAAAATAATTTTCAGCATTTACGTTGCAACTTTTCCTATGCCGACTACTTTAAATTTTTTGTAACTCACAATTGGAACTGTTTACAGCAAGAAAATCTACCGTTCTAAAGTACTTGGTGTATTAAGCATAATGAGCCTACGCTTAACAGCACGTATGCAACTGTTGCAAGTATGTATCATTACGTTTTTATTATTCAAGTACCTTTCATAGAAATATAGTCACTTATACGATAATGATATTTAAATAGACACATAACTAGTCATGGGTGTAGACAAGAAGCAATTAACGGGGAGTAATATGAAATGTACTGTTATAATACTAAAAATAATCGCATAATTACCTTTAAGTATGTATGTTTAATAACAGAATGGAATTAATTATATAACTTATAAGCAGATCTATTATTTTTGTTACATCCCCATCAAAAATAATTTTCTACAAATTCTTCTTCAATTATATTGGCTTTTAACAACCAAATGAAAAACTTAAGTAATATAAGAACAATAACAGTGCCATTCTGTACTTTTAATTAAATAAATAAATTAAATTCTTAAAAATGTTTATTGTAAATAAATAATATTTTATAATAAAATAAAAAGTAATCTTAAATATTATATCACACTAATTAATTATTTAAATTAATAAAATTAAATAATCCCTATATTTACTAATTAATTCCCTTTAGAACATAAAGTCGTTAAATAGAGCTATTAATCCATAGTGATAGCAAAACAATGATAATACTGAGTATAACCGATCTTTAAGATTCTTAACATATCTGATGAAAAATATTTATTATTTTTATATTTGACAGTTCATTAAATAGTCTACAGTTCTTAAGAAGTCTATAGTTCTGTCAGTGTTTTCTTTAACTTAGTTTTTCTAATTTAATAGAATTTACAGTTATATCTTCAAGATCTTATTTTTATAGCGAATGTTGTGATTTCAGTAGTTATTATATTTTGAAACACATTGTAGAAATGAGGTACGCTTTTTTACAAAAAAAATTAGTATTTTATGTGAAACAAAGATCGATCTGAATAGATTTAGAAGTATTATTTTTTATTATACCATTTTAGTATTTTTGAAGAAGGCATTCAACATGGCAATTTTCATGACACTATATATCAATCGTGTGTTGTTTCTATGTTTATGTTACTACTTTATTTCAAAATATTATTTATTTATATTTCTGAATTGTTTTTGAACACTAAGTAATTTCAGATATGTTCTCTGAGAGTTGGATTAATACGTCTGCTGTTGTCATGCTTTCCCTTTCTGTATTCCATATATCATAATCTAACGCATATCTTATACCTTATTGCCTTTTATTTGATGGTTTTCTTTAATTGCGTATTCGATTTCGAATTTTATGAACATTTAAAGAAGTTTTGGGTTGTTATTAACTTCATTTAAAAATCCATATATTTTAAAGCTTATAAATCGTCGAGCATTCCAAAACAACCTATCTTTTTCTAACTATCAAACATTGTCACGGAAATATGAATTTTTGAAAATATAATAACAAATACTTATTTTTATTTTATTTATTTTTTGATCACATCTTACCTATACAATTAATTAATTAAGAATTCAAGTTTACTATACGATGAATTAATAGTTAAAAAAAAAAATTCTAACCTACTTTACTTTATACTGACTACGTTTATAAAAAAATATTTTTACAATTTATCACACCAACGTTTAATAGATAAGATAACTTAATCCCTTAAAATTTAAAAAAAGGTGCGATAGTTTTTTAAATTGAAATTTTGGATAATTTGAGTACAATCGTGTTTGACGGATGCAAATATTGTACTTCGAAAAGTTCACTCTGAATCATTGTTTAAAAACTGCTAAAAATTTTTTTAGAATATTTTTATTTAATTATGAAGGTATATATAATGATATGGTGTTTTTATCTTTAATACAATTTCATTTAATATTTTTGTTATTATATAAATGTGTTAAAAGTAAATTTTTATATAAAAAAGCAATGTAATAAATACACAAATAACATAGTTACACTTAATTCAGACGCCTATAATACAATTAAATTTAAATAATTGAATTATTTTAATGTACTGATGTAGTTTAATAAAAAAAGAATAAAAAACCTAAATTTTGCAAAAAAAGTTCTTTAGTGTATTATAACCTTATAAATGGACTGGTATTTAAGAGTTGGTTTCAGCCACGTACAACAACTGCTGAGTTATAAACAGTAAAGAATTTTAATTGTTATTATATAAATTTTTTGCTTATAGCTTCTTGCAAAACAGAAAGTTATAAGTGATTCTATCCTTGAAAGCAGTAAAACTAGAAGCTTTACAAAGTTTTCCACTTTATATCACTCTATACAACATTAACATTACTTACTTACGACACATTACTAACTTTAAAATTAAACATTAATCAGGAATAAAAGTGATAATCATGAAAATTCACCAAAATCACAATCAATAACACTAACATAGAAGGGAGGGATACCGCGCAATACTTGGGTCTTATTTGTGACTAAAACTACATTTGCATCAAACGCGTTCAGGGTATCCAAATAATTTCACCACCTTTCTGTTAGACGCCTTCACATATGCCAATTCCAACTGTTCTAAAGAATCGTGAGAGCATTTTGTTACATTAAGTTGACAGATTTACATATTCGTATCAAGACTTTTGCTACATAAATAACCGAAAAGACACTAAAATTTTTCAACATTATCGATTCGCACATAAAAACTATCCTCTGTTTGTTGAAGACAACCTCCATCAGTACAGGCGAATATGCGGACATTCGCAAATTCATAGATATATAATATCAGCAGACTCAGATACTATCGTAATTCATATTAACAACACATCATCTATTGTAAATTATTTAAATTGTTTTGTATATTTATTAGAGGAACTATGTATAAATATTTACAATATTTTTTATAAAGTAGTTTACCAGGATATATAGTCATTGTACCCATTACCTTTATAGGAAAGCATTGAACAATCATCGAGAATGTCAGCGACATCAGTTCGCCACACTAATTTTGGATTACAGAAAGTCTTTGCTGGAAATTAGCTAACATGACCATCTTCAATAATTTGACATCTATTTTAACAATGAGTCTTAGCTTTATATCATTGTGATTATAATATAAATTGTTTAGTACTTTATCTTTAACGGTTATTTATTCTTAAATAAATATACTAGAAAAAAAGTTAAATGTTTATTTGCTTTTCCGGTGATATCTTAAATATTGATGCGCGCGTATTTTTCAATAAATAAAAAAAAATTTACAGCTTTAATTAAATGTTTTATGTTTATTATAGAAAAATCTCTATCTAACTGAAGTATTGTACGTACTAATTTTATATCCAACAAGTTATATATGGACTATAAACTAATTAAATAAAAATTCGAATATTCCTAAGATCACTGATGATGAATACTTGGCAATACTCGAAGCAGCGTTGTATGATCAGAAAAACTTCAATAAATTAATCAAATTTTTGTCTTCAGTACTGATAGAACCTTTCTAGTTCGGGAATATTACTGAAAATAGCTTTCTATACAGCTAAAAATCCAAAGTCAAGTTGGCGTACCCTAGATCGGAATACTTTCTGCTTAAAAAATATTCGGATTTTGTTGTTTGTTAACTACTCCTTAAGTAATAGACCTTTTTCAAAAAATTTTTTTGTTATGTTGGTACACCCTTTCTTGATATATGGTATAAATTTGAGCGCCATCTGTCAATTAGTTTGTTTACAGCAGCTGTTAATATGAGACTACCTCAAGTGCATTTAGCGATTTTTACTATGGAAAATTCTTGTTGTACGCGATTTTTTGACCAAACACGGCACCACTGTCATTTCCTGTTCCCGAAACTCAAATTGTCCCTTCGTGGTAAGCTTTTTGAGTCGATTGAATCGGTAAAAGAGAATTCGTCGAAGGAACTAAAAGCCATACCTGCACGGGCCTACGAAAAGTGTATGGAAGATTGGGTTAAGCATTGGCATATGTGTATCGCATATGTGTGTTTTATTTACAAAATCCGGGTACTTTTTGAGCTGGAGGTACTACTTAAAAATAATATATAAAAAATGAGTGATGGTCGATATGCAATATAAATTCCAAAGTATACTGAACTTTTTAAAAATAAGTATTTGTAGTGAAGCTATCTTTTGACAATTAATACTATTATAAAAATATCAAACTGAGTATGACTAAAAAAATTTTTGTTGTTCTTATTTACAAAATGTTCTGTTAATTTTGAACAGTGCTTTGTATTTGCAAAATGTTAAACTGATTTAGTGTCGACAATTAAAACTACTAGACCGCCTATGTATTATTGTCTCCATCTCTTTAGTCACGATGCATTTGTTATTAAACATCTGTGTTTGAAATCATAATTTATCTTGAACGATATTTTTATTTATATTTTTACTATATTTATTTTTTGTCTTTTTTAAGAAGTTGACAAATTTTTTTCGGAAGTAGATTCGCTTCACATAATTAAAAGCAACTGAGCCAGTTGGTTGAATGGATTGAGTTTACTCACTCAATCTTAATCGTTTTCTCAGCTTTAATATTCCAAGCGAAACCATTTAAATTTCATTTTAAACATTTAATTATGTTTATTTTTCTAAAGACTGTTTATCACTCCATGACCATTTTATTACTATACATTTCTTCTGTGCGGTCACAAATGCAAGCCATCAGAATAATGAACTTTCTTGCCCTTTACAGTGTCGCAATGAGTCGTTGAATTATTGCTTAATTACTTTAAATTTAAAACGGGAAAAAGTAGTACAACGTTTGCTATACGTATTACGAAAAAATACGAGTGACATTATTTTTTTATATTTGTTGGTCTATTTTTTTCTTATTATTATTAAGTATGTTGTTTTTTTTTACTTGAGAGTGAGAACCAAAACAAAGAAAATTTAATTCCCTATTTCGTCAGTTAAAAATCGGATGGTCTCAAAAAATATATAGTGGGGATCTGTAAATATAAATCTTACATTAAAATGTAAAAATATATTCATGTATTCCTTATTGACTTAAGTCTACCCTTCTTCTTTCCATTAGGACACTCGTCTTGAGCTTGATCTCAAGGAAGAGAAGTTGGCTTCGCTTCAGCGTGAACTTGAAGAAATGACTTTTGGTGGCAGCACTGAAGAAGAAATAGCTCAATTGCGTCGCTCCAAAAATGAATTGGATCGACGTGTTAAGGAGCAGGAAGAAGAGCTAGATGAAATGGCTGGACAGGTACAATTACTAGAACAGGCGAAATTGCGTTTAGAAATGTCACTGGAGACTATGCGCAAAGAAGCACGTCGCGAAGCTCAACAACGTGATGATGAATTAGAAGAAGCTCGTGGTAGTGCATACAAAAAAATGAAAGGTAATATAAAAACTGTTTTATATATATAATTAATATACATATGCAATAATTCATAATTTCAGCTTTGGAATGTCAATTGGAAACTGAACATGAAGAGCGTACTTTATTGTTACGTGAAAAACATGAACTGGAACGTCGTTTATCTTCTATGGAGGATCAGGATCGTCTCGATCGTCAAGCTGAGGAAGCTAGTAATCAAAAATTGCGGCGTGATTTGCGTAAATATAAAGCATTGCTTAAAGATGCACAAGCGCAATTGGATCGTCTTAAAGCTGAAACTTCTGGTAAAGTGCTCATACGTCAGCTACGTAATCAGTTAGAAGATGCTGAATCAGCGCGCACGCTTGCTATGAAAGCACGTCAAACAGCTGAAGCTGAATTGGCTGAAGTACAAGCTATGTTTGATGAGTCACATCGAGCACGCAATGAAGCTGAAGATCGTGCAAATTCAGCACATCGTGATCGTGCTGAATTGCAAGCTCAAATTGAAGAGAACGAAGAAGAATTAGCAGAACTAATGAAGAAATATAGTGCAACTGTTAAACAATTAAATACGGAACAAGTAGCTGTATCTGAATATGAGTTTAAATTATCAGAACTAGAGGCGGAACGTAATAATCTTAAGGAACAAGTTAATGAATTACAACAACGTTTGGAAAACGTTGAGAATATGTCAGATCCTTCGGCTGCCATGATGTCGAAACGGTAAGTGTCATGAGTCAAATAAAATACGCAAAATAATTCAACGATATTGTGAAATACCTTGAAAATTATTAAGTTTAATATTTTCCTGTACAACTTATTGTGCTACAGCCATTACAGGCAATGTTATTATAGTTATAACCCAGTGGCATCGACATGATAGGACACATAAAAAGATTGCAACACGAATATATGGGTTAAACAATTATAATATGTATAGCTGCTGGCTCAGTATAATTATAGTGATCAGAAAAACTTTATATTAATCAGTATTATTATCTGAATACTGTGTGCAAGCAAAATAAGTGTATATTTTCAGGATATTATTATAAATATGTACAATTTCTTCAAAATACCTCTTTTTTTAGGTACCTCATTAAATATTAATAATATTGCATAAAAAAAACAAATTTATGTAATAACCGCATTTTTTTTTCAGATTGGAGCTACGATCTAAAGAGCTAGAGTCTCGATTAGAGCTTGAACAAGCCACAAGAGCACGCCTAGAAGTACAAGTAAATCGTCATAAAGAAGCATTAGAAAAAGTACAAAATGAAGTAACGCAGTCCAAAGTACGTGAAATGCAAAATCAAGAAGCTCTTAAAAAATCCCAGAAGAGTTTAAGAGAAATGCGTGAAGAATTCCATTTAGTATCTGGACGTGAACAAGAATCGATAACGCGTCGCAAAGATTTGGAAAAGAAAATAGAACAAGTTGAAGCTGAGGCTTCAGCATTACGAAATGATTTACGTCTAGCACTGCAGAGAATAGCAGATCTCCAGCAAGCTATGGAAGAGGGTGACGATGATGTGAGCGAAAGGTGAAGAACAATTAGATTAGTGAAAATAATTAATTTTTTTAATATATTTTTGATTTAATTTTAGTGAGGATTCGCAAACTACAGATGGTTCTATCAGCGACTTAGAAGATCGTTTACGGCCTGTACAAGTAAAACGTACTGCCAATCATACACGCAATGGCGGAAGTGTGATAAGCAGCACCACGACATTAGTGCGAGAAAGAGATGACACTAGTCCAAGGTAAATAATATAATTAAGAAAGTACACAAAAGCAAAGTCATAAGCTGCACACAAATATTGTTATTTGTAATTTTTAAGTTACAATTATTTAAATTTGAAACTAATTAATTCTAATGCCACACACACGCTGACACGCCTATTGTCATCCTTAAAAAAATTACTTTTGGTTTTTGGTACACACTAACATTGCGGCAATGCATTCCCATTTTTTAATGCTATTTTTTAATTTGCATTTAACTTTCTGATTTTGGTTAAAATTTGTTTCGCTTTGTTACATATCCAACCTTTGCTCCAACCTACTTTCCAATATTTGTTGTGTATACAAAAACAAAAGCTTTTTCTTATTATAGAATAACATTGACCTCACCATCATCGCCACATGTGCATAAATTAGCAGCAGCAGCCAAAGCTGCGTCAACAGATGTAAAAGTGGTTAATAATACAAACTCAACAAGTAAAAATAATAGCATTGGCAGTAACGAAAGCCTAAAAAATGGAGAAGCATCATATGCCTAAAAAGGCATTAAGTTTCAAGAAATGAAATATTAGTTTTAATTTAGAATGAAAGCATATTTACTTATATATACACATATATATATATATATTTATATATATCAACATGTAATCGTATATATATTATACCCTATCATACTATTTTGAACTTTTTTATAATATATAATGGCTATAGAATAATGTCAAAATTTTACTCCGTAGGACATTTTTGCGAATGTTGATTGGAATATACCGCAAGATTTGTAGCTATATTGGTTTTGGAAATTTTAGGACTGAAAAGCTCAAAGCAAACTGGTTTGAAAATTTCCATATAAAATCATATTTTATATTTTACAACAGTGGGAAGTGAATCAATTTTGATAATCAAAGAATACGTTCGTTTTAAGTTAAAATTTTTAAACAAAGTTTTTCTGTGTTTCTATGATTACTGGGATTCAAATTGACTCCATCTGTAATATAATATCATAGATAATTTATTTTATTTGAAACTTCTAAGCCGGGCTTTATTACCGCATCACTACTTTTGACGTTGAAGTGAATATGCTAGAGTGAACCTTTACTGATTGCTATTTTTTATATCAATACCAGTTATCAGAAAAGAAATTGACAATATATGACTATTAACACTAAAATTAATCTGCACACCAGTAAATAACGGACTAAGCTGTTCTTACCGCGGTGCCAAAAAGAAATTCCCGTTAGCTGTTATTATCTCATTCTTAATGAGGGTAAACTTAATAAGACTATAGGCTGCTTATAAAAGTGAAACATGTTTAAAATATTACGGAAGCGCATAACGAACGAATATATTTTACATTTATATATTTTTGAAATAGTTACTTTTATTCATATTCATTGGTGACAGCTTTTGCTATTGTGTTCATATTTCTGTATTTCATTATTAAGTAATCGCTATGGTTTAAATATAAATGTGTTCAAACTCATGGAAAAAACATTTTTACATTATTTTGTGTTGTAAAACGAACGAATCTTTGGCAAATTTCACTATAACTTATATGTCCAACCAAGTAATAATTCAAAGTTATATATGATATATATGATAAAAAGAAATTATATAAATATCTATTAGCTATGCAATATCGCAATATTTCAGTTTTTTAATTAATTTATTTTATATATAAATTCAGTTAATATATTTTTGTTTTTATATTATAAATAATTTTCTCATGTATATAAATATTTTAGTTACTAATTTTTTTTTTTACCGAAATGAATTGTTAATAAAAAAAATAATTTTGAAATGTATTTTATTTTAATACATTTTTTGTTTGTTAAATCGTTTTAAAAAATACAATATAAATTTTATTGTTTATATTTATTCCCAATTCAAATTAAAATGAACTAATTAAATATTACTCAAAAATGACTAAAACTCAAGAATAAAAATTTTGCAACTATATTTGAGTAAATCAAGGCCTTTCTCCTTGAAAGGTGCATTTTATGAATTAGTATTTTTAATAGTTAAAATGATATTTTATAAAATATAAAGAACTGTAGTTAAATCAAATTCATTTATTATTATTAGTTGTTATTTATAACGCAAATAAATTATTTATTGGTTCATAAGTCGTTTTTAACAATTTTTAGTTCAATTACAATATAATAAATAAAATCCATATAAAAAGAAATGACTTCAGTAGTACATTAATATTAACATATATAAATATTATTTTAAAAATAATTACAAAATTTATATCTATTAAAGCAATATGAAAAAAGAATTTCAAAGCAAAAATAAATGAATGACTCCTAAAATAATAATATTTATAATATTTTACAAAATTTTAAATTATTACAAATCTGTGAAATTCCAAATAGAAAACAACTAAATATAATTTGTTTGTCACTTGTTTTATAAATATTTAGCTATAATTAATATTTTAATATATAATACAATCAAAATCTTTAAAAATCCTCTTAAATTATTTTAACTAAAGTAATTAAATTTTCAAATTTTAAATATAGAAAATACATATAAGAGTGCAATTAATTATGTGCTCGTATTACTAGCGTTTAAAAATTTAAAGTAAAATAAAAATAAAATTATGATTTGTAAATTTTACAAAAATTAAACATATATATACATATATATTTATATATTAAATATAAAATATTTTGGCATACGATTAAAGAATAACATAAACTTAAACACCAAACATTTAAACTACTTAAAATATATTGTTATTAAAAATAAAACTTGTTTCATTACAATTCTACTTTACGTCAGTCAGTTATATTAATGACAAAAATGTTTCGTGCCCGAAATATATATATCACTATATTTTTATACAGTGATATAGGTAGCTTGTAGGTACTATCATTCATGAATACAAAAGCAACGTAGTTGTTCTAATGAAATGCTTTACTACATTTCATCTCACAAGTGAAGGCTTTCTAAAAATGTTAGCATTATTTTATATTCAAAAAGCCAGACTATAAAAGCTAAAAGCTGCTATAAAATTTTTCCAATCTTGAACTACTAAAGACAAGCTAATTGAAGCTCCAAAAATCTTATATCTGGGTTGACCAGTAGAAGTAAAGTCATATTCATATGAATCTCTGATCACAATAGGATCTACAGTAAAGAAACAGCTAACATGCTTGCGAACTAAGGCACATTAATTCCCTTCATAGGTCTCATTAGTTAGGGCTTTTTGTCGCAGACCGGAGTTAAGCAAGGCTGTTTGCTATCAACACTACTATTTGCAGTAACGTTAAATGCTGTGTTGATAAAAGTCACTGTTGAAAGAAGGAGGACCCTCCATAATGGAGGGTCAACCAACATTTCGAAGACCTCGACGACATAATTTAACTCTCTTCAAATAAAAAGCATATGCAGGCAAAAACTGATGCCCTTTCAACTACAACCACACTAGTGGGTTTGCGAATCAACATAAGCAAAATAAAGGCATGCACGATTAAGTCAAATCAAACTCCCACTTTCACAGTCAGTAACACCAACATTGAAACCGTTGAAAATTTCTGCTACCTTGGAAGCATAATAAATCTAACGTGAGGCCCAGCCATTGACGTACGAAGCAGAATTAACAAAGCAAGATCCGCATTTGCAACTCTCTTTCAATATCTGGAGCTCTAACGAATTATCTCCGAAGACCAAAATCAATGTATATAACCCATGTGTCAGATCAATTCTGCTGCATAGCTCTGAAATATGGTTGTTGAGGACTGAAACTAGCCGCATGTTGGAACTGTTGTCTGCGAAATATATTGAGAATTTGATGGCCCCGTCTGATGGAGAATGAAACGTTGCTGCAACTCACAAACCAAGAAAATATGCAAATAAAATAACGAAAATATAACGGGCTCATTAAGAAAACCCTACGAAGAGGTCTGTCCTGCTGCCTTACGATGGAACCACTTGGAGAAGAACCATTCGGCATGAAACTAACAAATCATTTAAAGAATTAAAATATTTAGAAATACCTGGCGTATCTATGTAAATATGGGTCTCAAGACTATCGAATATAAATATGCAAAATCGTACACTAATGGGTTAAGACGATCTAAACAGCACATTTAAATCTAATCTATGTAATGCACAGAAGTGGTAATTAATCTAAATAGACCTGAAAATTATCACCATACAAACATGGAATTAAAAGTCACTGCAGAATTAATTTGTGTATGTAATTAATCATGGCGTTGACCATTTGTTTGATTGTTTAATTTGTTTAATGCAAAATAAATGTTCTAAATTTTAGAGCGAGTAATAGGACGGAAAAGTAATAAAATAGTGATTTACAAGATGATGCTCTTAATATCTTTTGATAATATGATTTATAACATATTAAAGTCGGTACTTTAGACCTGTGGTAATATTTTTAATTTTTATTTGTTGAAAATTTTTAAAACTCCTATAAATTTTAGATTCTCAATTTGAAAGCATCATTTTTAAGTACAGGATGTAAAACATCTAAAATCCAACATTCCCACAACACAGGTAATATTTAAAATTTTTTTGTTTAACATAATTAAAACTCTTGAAATTTCAGATTCCCAATTTAAAGGCATTATTGTCAAAAAATTTAAAGATATTCTTTTACGACTTTCTTAAGCTAAGGTTAGCTAGTTTCAGTTTATTCAGTTGAATATAATTAAAACTATTAAAATTTCAGATTCCCTGTGATGCTCTTAAACATTTTCAATAAGTTTATTGACGGATCTCTTAATACTGCAGCGAAAACGGCACTAAGTGGTAGCATGCAAGAACATCAATTATAGGAAATGAATCAAAACGTGGATAATAATGAAAAGAGATTTTGAGCTGGAAAAGAAAACAGAATGCTAAATTTTAAAATTATATAATAAATATGTAAGAATTTATAATTAAAAATTTTTTTATTTTAATAAATGAAGAAAAAAGTAAAATATGACTTGGATTATTAATAGCACAGTAACTTTATATATATAGTAAAATTGACAAATATTTTTTTTTTCAACCACTATAGCTAAAACTGTCTAATAACAACAAGTACTTCTAGTTACAATGTATAGGGATAAAAATATAGCTGTAAATCTTTATCTAAGAGTATAGTTTTTAAAATATGAGTTTAAGTCTACTTATTGAGATTACATACATCTATTTATTAATTCTGATGTCATCATTTTATTAACCCGTTGTTTCAGTCACTGATAGTTACATTATTTCTATATTTGCATTGAATTTCAGGCTTCTTGTGTATTTAGTTAAATTTAAATTGAATCAATTTTTAATAAAGCTGTATAAGTACAATCATTTAATAAACTAATCGTTTAAAAATATATTAATATATTAATGATTTACACCCCAATACTATCACATACCTTCCGACGGTTTCGCATGCAGTTTACCACACACCACCTGCACAAGAATAGTTCTTCCTGAAAATCAGTATTTTTTGTCAATTAGAGTAAATTTAATCTCTACGCTTCAGATGGTAAATCATATGTGAAATACTATGCCAAATACGCCAAATATATCACATACTAAGCTCCAAAAACAAAATTTATATGGCACAGTTAAACACGGCGGCAAGCATGTGATAGTATTGGGGTGTAAATCAGCGGCAGGAGTAGGTAATCTACAATTTATAGAATCAACAATGGATAAAGAAGTGTATCTTAATATATTAAAGCAAAATTTGCATAAAAGTGCCGAATATTTAGGCATAATTAACAATTTCTGTTTCTACCAGGATAACGATTCGAAGCACAAGTCGGGTCTTGTGCAGACTTGGCTTGTTGGGAATTGTCCACACATCATCCAAACACCTCCCCAATTACCTGACTTTAATGTCATAGCAAATTTATGGCATATTCTGGAAACTAACATAAAAAAACATAACATTTATAGCAAGGAAAGTATGAAAGCTGCTTTAAAATTGGAATGGCAAAAAATATCAGTGGAATATACTCAAAAATTAGTTACTTCAATGCACTCAAGGTTGGAGGCAGTAATTAAACAAAAGGGCTATCCCACTAAATACTAAAATTCACTTTTTTATGCCAAAAATGATTAATTTTCTAAAAAAAATGTTTTGCACGAAATAAGCTGTGAGGTCAGAATTTGGTGTATGTTTGTTTTTGTTCACTTAACTTCTTGAATATTGATATTTTTGCTAAATTTTTTTTTGTTTTATAATAAAAACTAAACATTCTTTATAGTTGCATATTTAAAATTTTTTATTTAAACAAAATTTTGGATTTTCACGACTAAATCTACAAAAATATTGCTTGCACGAAATAAGCTGTGAACCACGGTATGTGCTATTCTATATATTATATATATTTCAATAACTGATAAAAAAATAAACGCCTTATTATAAACTTTAATACTCAGAAAACTACAAAATCTCTATAATCTTTAAACACTGAATTTTAGTTAACATAAATCAAAAATAACACTCATCAGGATATCTAGTCACAACCAACTTGTTCGTATTTTTCACTTTTTCAACTGTGCCATTACTTCGTTATATCAAATATAAATTGGTTGTATAGTCGCACACTAATTGGTAATAGACAACTCACTTTGATCGACAGTAAAAATATTAAGAGGTCTCTTGATCTAACTAGAACTGTCTGTTTGTATCTGCTGTAGTTATCATATACACTTTGAATTTAATGAAATATATGAGTCGTTAACCAAGAGACAAGAGAATATCTTAAATCTTGCATTGTACCATTTTTCATATCTAATAATAAATAAAAACGTGGATATCTCAAGAACAATGTTTAAATGCCGAATGGTTTGAAAAAGCGGTGTCGCAGATTTAGGTAATCTCGGGAGGTAGATGGAGTCATATTTAAAAAAAATTGGCATTTAAATAATAGTATAGTGCTATAAGATTTCTATATCTCTATGTGTAATATCATTTATATATATGATTAACAGTAGAACTACTTATTGGCAATAGACCGTATCAGAAAATAATGGCTTAAATAAAAGAAAAAACAAATCCTTTTGTTATTATGTTTTATTCGTTATTCTACTTCCTATGATTTAGATATCAAACGAGTTCAAAGCTTTTTTATGTTTCTTAAATTACCGGTACTTACATAGAGGTATCATTTTTTATAAAAATAATTTGTACTTGCGCACTATCTTTTGCTAAAATGCAATTCTAAAATAGGCATGTTTGATGATTGTCATCAGGTCCATAGCATGAAATTTACTCTGGAAAAAGTTTTCATATACTTTCAATAATTTAGAAAAATGTTCATTTTATAAAACAGGATTCATTAATATTAAACATTCTACATATTTATAAATACCATTCTTCTATTTATATTAATTGGTTTTTAGGCTCTTAAATTCCCTTCCCTTGACTACGTGCCTGATTATTATCATCTAATATTGCAAATATTCAATCATTTTTTTAGGAATTGTTAGAAATGAAATAAAAAATCTGAATGCTTATCCATTGTTTTAGAGAGTATTTTAAAGAATTGTTCTTTAGACGAATAAAATATGAGTTTTATGCAATCCTCTATGTAATTATTTTATATTCAATTATCGATTAACCTTCTAGTACATTCTAAAACAGAATATAAACGAAATTGTTAATGTTTCCTTAACTTCATTTCTCTCACATATAAGATTAAAAATCTTCAATGAAGTTTAACTTCAATATTGATTTGAAGACTTCAGTCTATAATCTTAAATGTTAGGGTTCATATAAAGTCGTGCTACATTATGGCGTTATATAACTAAAAAAAGTGCTGCAATTAAAAACTACAAAAAAAAAAGATGAAAACACGTCACTACGTATTCAAATCACGGCACGTGGAAATTAAAATCATTTTGACTGAAGGCCAATGCCAAAGTTCTTTGACAACTAATTTATTTATTCTTTCTTCCCTTTTTCATTCCTTTATTAATAATTCTATTTCCAAAGTTTTTCGAACATGAACCCATTCATTCGCAAATTTTTATTTCGTTTAGGAAGGCGGTTCTATAGTTTTTGGTGTTTAAAGAAACAATTTTCACGCTTATTTTTTGTTTTATTTTTGCTTTTCCAATTTGCTATCGTCAAGTGTCTAAATTGTGTCATGTTTGATTTTATCATTTTCAGCTTTGAACTTTACCTACATTTTCGCACTTTAACATTCAATAGAATCGGAATTACATTACAGACTTAGGCGCACGCTAACTTCCTTTTAAAAAGTTGAACGTAACTTTCGCTTCCCTAAAATTATTTCGGACTACACTACACTAAAAGACTCTTAAGGTCGCTAAAGTTCGACTCCATTGACTTTTATAAGTGCGGCAAAAGACTTTGAATTATAAAATAAAAGTCAATAGATGGATGACGTTTTAATGCGTTACTTGAAGCAGTTCATTGTTTTACAGTTTGCACGCAAGGACAATCATAGACAACACCAGCAAAGTCATGCAAATCACTCAGTTTCACATTTGAACGCAAACAAACTACCAAAATATAAATAAACAATTAAATCAGCTGTTTTCAGTTTTACTAAAGAGGGGAGTATCTTAAATCCACAATGCTAAAGCAACAGGACAATACTATAAAGACGCATAAACCTTCAGACAAAAATTTGCAACATTTTTCAAATGCAACGAAATCAAGACGAAATGTCAGCAGTCAATCAATCAGAAAAAAGGCCATGCTTAGTTTTTGCACTTTTACCCTGAAATGTGCCAAATATCAGTTTCAGTTCAACCCTTCCGATTTTCTTTATGGCAACAATAATAAACAAAAAAATCGCAAACAATAATAAAAGTCTACCTACCAAAAATATTCCTAAAGGTGATATCACGAAATAAACATCATTTAACAAAAATTCAAATTCAGTCTGAAATTATTGATCAAACAAGTTCAATTTCATCTTTTGAATAATTTATGTAGCTTTGCTGAGGATTCGCTTAAATTTCTGCAATGCAGTCTTATATCACGTACCAATGAAGTCGGACGTAGTTAAACCAAACACTCCGATATTCAAAAACAAAAAATTAAAAAATTATATTTTTAATACTGTGCACTGTTAAAGAAATCAAAGAAATCGGTCAAATATGGATGACCGTACAATAGATTCCATATTTGCCGGTTCGATGGAATCGCTGCCACCGGTTAGTTCCAAAATAGTGCGTATATTCACCAGTTCCACTTTCACGGGTAAAGATACTATAATTAAAAAGTTTTCAGCAACTTATGTAATCTCAAATAATAAATATTTAACTGTAAAATTATTGCAAAGATACCACGATGGAACGTAACACGCTTATGGCTAAATGTTATCCACGCATAAAGGATTATTGTCGTGAAAAACATGGTCTAGAATTCCAGGTGCTTTTCTTACAACTTTCAGTAATTTCCTGATATTTTATATAAATATTTAGGTAGTTGATATGCGTTGGGGTGTACGTGATGAGGCCACTGATGATCACATGACCACAGAATTGTGTATGCGCGAAATTCAGAATTGTCAACGTTTGTCGATGGGACCCAATTTTATAGTCTTTTTGGGACAAAAGTACGGTTATCGGCCTATACCGACTTATATTGTCTCTTCAGAATTACAGTTGATTTGTGAGGAACTAACTTCAATGGGTGTGGATCGTGCATTATTGGATCTTTGGTATAAAAAAGACAGCAATGCTGTACCACCTATTTCTGTGTTACAACCAATCTCTTCAATTCTGATCAATTTTAATAATAAGGTAAATATATGAAAAAAATTTTATTATTATTGTATATAAGAATTGCTATAAGAATATTGTTATTATATAATTTATTTGATATAGCGTGCACATACGACTCCACATCAAATTAATTTTTTTCACTATGTACTAATTTTTTTTATTTTAAAAATTATATGTACTCTGCTTTAATCAAAAAATTATTCTACTTTTATATTGGTCTATGTTATAACATATATGTTACATATAATCTTTTTTAATTGTTTTACTCAGCGAAAAGGTTAAACTACGCTATTCTTGATAAAATCACAAGAATATTCTATAAAATTCTATATAAACTCTATAATTCGACGACTCCTGTAACCAACACCCCTATATGGTATACTTTTATTTATTTTATAAATAAATAATGTTGTTGTAACTGGTTAAGTGGTACGGGTCAATTGCATTTTGTCATTGAAAACAAGTTACTCTAGAAAATAAGCCCAACAGAAAATAAATAATTAATATTAAATGAATAGAAAAATTATTATTGTTGTTATATTTAAAAAGTTCCTGTAGCTAGTCCTTGTCACCTATATATAATACTTTTATTATATATGTGATAAATAAATAATGCTGTTGTAAGGTTTTTTTATAGCATTTAGTAATTGAAGACAAGTTGCTCCAGAAATTAACCCAATAGAAACTATTAAATCTAATATTTCTTTACGCTCTGTTTTATAAAACGACACTTTCAAAATCGTAATATACTACAATCGTATGCTTAAGTATTTTTAAATAAAATCTAATTTGACTAGTGAGATATATATTGTACAGTGAGATATATATAGTACTATTTTACTACATCTACTACTATTCTACTATAGCTATAACGATGAGAACTATTTTCACAGAATTAAAACAGATTCTTTTAATGGTGAATTAAATAAATTTTAAATATATATATATATTATTTTATTCATAATAAATATATTAGCGTGTACCAAAATTACAAGCAGAAGACCAAGCTGTTTGGTGGGATACCTTAAATAAAATGCAAAAACTTCTAAGAAAGGCCGCTGCATCTTTGGGAGCTAGTAGTAAAATGGATAAAGAAGCGGTACATAACTATTTCATGTCAGGTAAGAAAATTTACAAATTAAATCAATTGTTTTTCAATTTAATTTTTAGACTTTGTGTAGTGAATATTGGAAACTAGTGAATATTCTATTTACTATATATTATACATATATCAGGTGTTTTAAAAGTCTGAAAAGCATTTTGAGAAAAAAGTGCATTACTTGAATGTGAATTCTTACTTTAAATAAATAAATAAATAATTACATACAATAATAACAAAATATAAATTTTCAAAATATTTTAAACAAATTCCAAAATAAAATTACCAAATAAAAACACCTCTCATATGAAATGGAATCATAATTTATTTATTAAACTTTTATAATTAGTTAAATATTAATAAATATGTTAGATTTGTTATAACTTTGCCATTTTGGCTGGTGACACTTATCCAAAAAGTGCTTCCGTCAAACTTTAAAATAGAATAGATATAATTACTTACTCGGTAAAAAAATTATATATCAAGCCCAAAGAAACAAAGTCATAAAAATCAAGAAGATAAATATATCCGAAAGCAACGTAACAAAATATTTAAACATGCATTTCGATAGAAAATTGACTTCGAAAACGTATATATTCTCAAACCGTAAGGCTTAAAAAAAGCTGCACTGTCGAATAAATAAAAATTTGTAAATATGAATCATAAATAAAATTCATCAAAATTATAACGTCATTCTAATTTAAAAAGTATAGCAAGTATTTTTGTTAGTGTCATTTACAAATAAAATTATAAAAAACTTGGAACTTAAGCATTGAAAGTTTGTGCTTGGCTACTTGTGAAAAAACACGATTAGTCATCGTTTCTAATTAGTCAGGCACGAGTTCTAAGCCTGGTATTTGTAGTCCTACAAATTATATATGTACTAGGTATAAACTAATTAAATAAAAAATTCGAATATTTTCTAATATCACTGATGATGAATACCTGGCAATACTGCAAATACCGTTATATACCGTTATCAGTCCAATTTCAATAAATTAATTAAAATTTTTGTTGTTTTTTCATTACTATTCGCATCCTTTTAGTTTCTTTTCGTCATAAGACGCGTCACATTCGACATTCGAAAAACTAACGTTACAAATAAAATTCTACTGTACACAGTTGACTTAAAACCACAAAGATTGAAACGACAACGACAAAGATTAAGATTAAGAATCATCTATCTGCATTAAATAATTTGAAACAAATTCTATATATAAGTGCAAATACATAACTTAAACAAATCTTTTTCACTTTTAATTTACAGTGACGGAACGTGAAGTTATTAATGGCATTTTAAATGTCAAGAACACAAAAAATCACTGTTTGGCATACGTACGCTACATCAATAACATTAATTTACAAAATCTTAAAAAGGCATCCCTATTCGTGGATATTATAAATCGCAGTTTAGATACGGAATCGGCAAAGTTGCTTGGGGATCTCAGGGACACGCGTCTACCTAATAAAATTGAGAATAGTAATATGCAAAAGTAAGTAAAGCATAAAAATATGACTACTAATAAATACAATTGAACTTAAACATAATTTAAGTATTTAAGTGAATTCGCTAAATATGTTATTATCTAATTGAGGAAAATTGAGTATTACAATATATGCAATACTTTTATACATATTTCATTATAAATTATTTGAAATTAATTTAATTAGATATACAGTGGAATGGATTGGACGCGAGGGTTTGGATATTGAAACACATGAGGAGTATCTTAATCACTTTATATCGCATTTCTATAAGAACATTGTGAAATTGGTTGATCGTGCTATGCGCAAAGAAGACTCCAGTGCACAGGGACAGATAGTAACTGAAATCCTTCAGCATTTGCACGCTTGCAATAATTCGGTAAAAGTTTTTTATGGTCGTGAAGAAAATCTCGAACATATCAAGCGCTATATGCTGGGGGATTCAGAGAAGCCACTTGTCCTTTATGGCGAGGGAGGTTGTGGAAAAACATCATTACTTGCAAAAAGCGCTTCACTAGTAGCAACACAATGGTTTGCTGATAAGCGACCGTTAAACATAATACGATTTCTAGGCACCACACCTGATTCAAGCGCGCTTACTCCTACACTTATCTCGATTTGTCAACAGGTGAAATCATTTCGATTACTTTTAATAAAACACGATAGTTTACTATATTTCAGCGCAGATTTCATATAACTATATGCTACCTTTCGAGAATATACCCGACGATCTTGTACCTTTAACAGCACATTTTAAGCAATTACTAACTTATGCAAGTTCGAATCAACCTTTAACGTTATACCTTGATTCAGTTGATCAATTGACTGGTACACAAGATTCGAATAAGGTATCCTGGATACCAACCAGATTACCACCCCACTGCAAGGTGAGTTGGAAGGAAGTTCGAAAAAATTTTGCTTCCTTCTGTGTATATATGTTTAATATTTCTACTTTTTGCATGACTTAAATGCATGACCTTCACATATTCTCAAGCACTACAAAAATAAAAAAAATTTTTAAAACACCTATTTTACTTAAATTGGAATGCCTAAGTATGTATAAGTTTTTCAAATTGCTTGACTTGTGTCTGCTAAAAATATTTAAACAATATCTAAGCACAAATAATTTGGTAAGACAAACCATTTATAAGCACCAAAATCCGGTGAGCTGTAAATAATATAATTTTGCATATGTTTTCTCTCTATACCTAACATATATATATGTATTTTATAGATTATCATATCATGTGCAAATGAGGAATCCAATCCTACTGTATCTCATGAATACTATGTGCTACGTAAAATGATTGATACTGATGAAAATTTTATAGAAGTTACTGCATTGGGCGAAGATCTGGCTATGAATGTCATAAAAATGTGGATGAAGACAGCCTGCCGAGATCTTAATAATTATCAATGGCGCTTAGTTGCTAATGCTATCAGTAAATGCTCGTTGCCAATATTTGTAAAATTGGTTTTTGCCGAAATTTGTCGCTGGCGCAGCTATACCAGACCTCAAGAAACTCATTTAGCCAATACGGTTATGGATTCTATTATGATGCTCTTCGAACGTATTGAGAAACAGCATGGCCGTATATTAGTATTTCATGCGCTTGCATATATAACAGCTGCAAAGTCTGGCTTATCAGAAAGTGAATTGGAAGATTTGATCTCTTTGGACGATAAAGTCTTAGATGATGTCTACCAATACCATTTGCCTCCGGTTAGACGTATACCGCCACTTTTATGGACACGTATAAGAAATGATTTGCCGAATTACCTAAGCGAACGTGAAGCAGATGGTGTCAATGTTATGAACTGGTATCATAGACAGTTTCGCGATACAGCTAAGGAACGTTATTTCAAGAATATGAATATGGCCATGTATTTTCACTCTATGATAGCCGATTACTATTTGGGCATTTGGGGTGGAGGTATACCAAAACCATTTAAATTTACCGAAATACAGAGGCATCGATTTGGATTGACCGATAAAGAGGGTGTTGCTGATCGAAAAGTACCTATACAACCTCTAGTATTTACGAGTAAGGATGGCAGCTCCAGACGCTACAATTTAAGAAAAGTAAGTTTTACATATTTTTTTGTTATACAGTTTTATATAGAAGTATTTCCTTTTATATATATATTTGCAGTTTGGTGAACTACCTTTCCACTTTGTACGCTCCAGACGCTTCAAGGATCTTTTTGAGCATGTGCTGTTTAATTATGATTGGTTGCATGCAAAACTTTCCAGTTGTCCACTGCAAGCAGTTTTGGCTGATTTTGAAGATGCTTCCTCAAATACTGATAATAATGAGGCTAAACGTGAACTAATGTTAGTCGCTGATGCATTACGGTTGGGAGGTGCTATATTAGCGGTACATCCAAATATGTTGGCGCCACAGTTGGTTGGACGCTTGCTGCCAGAAATCGGTGGTAATAGTAATATAAAAATGTTATTGCGTGCTTGCGACCGTTGTGGACCTAAAGATTGTGCACTTATACCGGTTAATCATTGTTTGCATACACCAGGTGGACCACTTAAGGTAATATAAAAGAAAAGTTTCATGCACACATATAAAAACAAATATTTCACATGTTAAAATAAAATTTTTAAATATTAATTTTTAATAATAAATAACATTTATTTTATTTTTTTCATCTAGTATTCTTTAGAGGGTCATCAGTTTGCTGTATTCGAGTTTCGTTTAACCACCGATCGACGTTATATGGTTTCAATATCTACACATTTTATAACTTTTGATCTCTCCACATCAGATTTAACACGTGATGTGAATCCAGGTATTGAAGGTATTATGCAGCAGTTGGCATTAAGTCCTGACAACAAATGGGCTGCCGCATATTCTAATAATAATCAGACAGTGTTATTAAATATGCTATCTAGTGAATTTGTGATTATCAACAGCCCTTTTGACATAGAAGATGGTCCTGTTAGTGGTTTGTTCTTATTAAACCAAAAGTAGGTCTCTGTCAATTCTAATATTTGTATGATAACCAATATTTTTGTATGTTTCTCAGCCTCTTTATAACGTGCAAACAAAAATGGGCACAATATGATATGCGTGGAAACCTTGTTAATACTTTTACAGTTCCCGGTTCTACAAATGAGTGGGAAATATTAAGTAATTTGTTGTTGATAATGAAATAATAAAAAAATTTTAACAGTATTTCATTCATTTAGATATGGAATTTATGTCACCACGAGACTATAACATTATATTTTGGTCAGGTTCTATTAATGAAACTCGCTTACGTTTCAATTCTTATCGTGGTGAGATCTTTTCTGAAAGTTTACATTTTTATAGTGCTTTAGTATTAAGTTCTGATCGCAAAAAATTGTATGGCTGCATAAGTGAAGAAAATTATCAGGTAAATTCCTAAATACTGTCATTCAGAAAGTAAAACTTTAATTCTTAATTTTATCCCCAATTTCTACTTAAATTTTTATCTTTACAAAAAAAAAAGGTTAGCGTATTCGAATTAATCCACACTAAAGAAAGTGAAGATATAAGTTGGGCAATGGTGGAACACCTCAGTCGCTATGATAATGACGAAAAAGAAATGCTGCTACAATTACGATTGGATCAAGATGATCGAATGCTTTTGGGTACAGCAGGCAAAGGTTTTGTTATATGGGATTTTGGGAAAGATGGTGAACGTCTTAGCAAAGAAGTTATGTATTTTGCATTACCACACGGAGTGCGTAATATTACAACAAAAATATTACAATCAAATTCAATTATGGTAAGCTCCAAAATGGACTATGCTGTAGCTGGTGTGCGTAAAAATTTGTATGTGTGGTGTTTAAAAACGAGACAATTGGCCAAAGTACTTGACGCGCATTTTGGACGTATAATACAGCTAGAAGCGCTTACCATTGGTAATTGGAATAATGTAGTAACCTCTTCCATTGATCGTTCAGTAAAAGTTTGGAATATAAATAATATATTTGAGAAAGTACACGTCATTGATCGACATGAGTTACAAATCGATAATATAAGGTGACTAATGAATATAATTCACAATAGTTAATAGTTTATATATAAGAATTTTTATATTTACATTTTTTACATATATGAAACGTAAATATATTTATATATTTTAAATACTTCAGCCTTTCCGAAGTTGACTTAGGTGTTACAGTTACAAGAAGTTGTGTTGGTGTTTGGGAAACTCGTTCTGGTAGATTATTATCAAAATTGGCTGATAGTCCATTGGGAGCTATAGTCACGCATGCTGAAATCACACCAGATGGACGTTTTGTTATCTCTTCGGAAACAGGTAAATTCCTTATATGGAATCGTGTGTCAGAGCAAGTAGTTTTTCGCGACGATGAACCCGGCATTCAGCAAGTGACTTTAATGGATTATGGTTATAAAGTAATGACAGTTTCCTGTGCAAATATAAATCATAAATCAGATCTTGCTGGCGAGGATGGCCCGAAATTAACAGCAAGAACTGTGGTTAGAGCAGTACCAGGTAAATATGTTGTAATAGAGTATGAATCACTTAAAATTAAACAATATACATTTTCTATTTAATAGAAGGAACAGCATTATTCAGTTTTGACTATGGAATACGTATGATACCAGGTATACCGTTTCGTCAGTCAGTGATTACAGCAGATGCAGCACATATTGTGGTCTGCACAGTCGATAAATCAAATAAAGATTGCCTAGGCGTCTATAATGCCTCTAATGGCGCTTTCGTTTCAAAAATCCTACTTAGAGGCTGTTCTATCAAAGTATGTACGAAAAAAAGAAAAATTCATAGATTACTACCTTATATATATATTGTAACTAATTTAATATTTTTTTAGGAAGTTATATCACTTGTACCTATGCCGCACAAGGTAAACCAAGTAGCGGTTATTAGTAGTGAAAAAGGAAGCATTATGGATATTAAAAGTAAAAAACATATACGTTCAATAGCAAAATGGGGTGGCAGTATTACACGAGATGGTAAAAATGGTTTATATGCACCTACACGGTAAGTGAAAACTATATTATTTGAAGATCAAACTAAAACTGTATATTTTTATAATTCTTTAATTTATTTGCTTACTTATTTTTTCTTAGTTTAAAAACTTTTTTCTTATTTTGTTATATATCTTTATATTACTTAATCCCTGTTTTTTCGTGTCAATTCGAATAATTGATACGAATACACAATTTTTCTATCTATAATAAATTTTATAATTTAAATAATAATTATTTAAAAAATAGATAAATTAAAATATCTTATAAATCATTATAAGAAATAATTAATTAATTATTTTCACTTCCTAAAATGCATTTGTACAATAAACACAAGTTATTTCCTTCTCTCTCTTTCTCATCTAAGATTTTTTATAAGTCTAAATTTGTTTTGACGTATATAAATATGAAACTTTTTTTGAATTTCTAATATGTTGCTTATTTGTAATTAACTATCTATACTGTCTTTCTATTGATCATTTTATAATACTTACATTTTTTTTATATTTTTCTATATATTATTAATTTTCATACATTTATTTTACATATCTTTCATTGTAGTTGTAGTTATTTATATTCGTTTTTTCAGTTTTCTTTTTGTTATTCTGCAAATGTCTAAATAACACTTCTATTAAATTTTTTTCCACTAGGGGTTTACCTATTTTACTTCTTTTCTATCTAACATTTATTTTTTTTTTTTTGCTTGTCCCTTTTTATTTTTTTCAAAACTACCAATTTTAAATTCAGTCAATTATATATCTTCCTATTCATCTTAACCTTTGATTTTTTTTCTCTCCTTAAAATATTTACTTGTCTCTATTATAGTGGTGGTCTGGAAATGCTAGAGCTACGCAAAGGTACTACAGTAAAAACTTTTATACCAAAAGTAGCTGAGGGTGTATTCTCTGTTATTTGTATCTTTACCGAAAATGATGAATATGTATGTTATTATCACAGTGGTCGTAAGACAATACGTGTCTTTCGTACTGTAGATACTGAGATGATTGCTAATTATAAGCTACAAGCTGAATTGACAGCCATCAAAAGTAGCAAAGATGGTCGTTGCATTGTATTGGGAACTGTTGACGGTTGTATGTCTGTGTTAGCTATTGTGGATCCGCTTAAAGTTGATATGAATGATTTCTTAAGTGGTCTGCCATCTCGAGATGAAAACTGGAAAGCTAAGTTAGCAAAAATGAAGGCTCGTGTTGGATTTAAAGCAGCTATAAGAGTTGCTACTATCTCTTCACGTTTCGATGGACAAAAAGGCAAAAATAAGAATGGAGAAAACTACGAGGATGAAAATGAAGAGAATGGTATAACTGAGTTGGGATTAATAGAGAATGTGCATTAGAGAAATGTTTAAATTAAACACTTAATTTCTATGAATCAAAAGCTATTGAAAAATCTTTAAAATTTGTACAAATTACATAGTATTAAAAATACATGTTATTAAACTATTCTTTCATTGATTTTAATGTATTAATAATTTAATCGAATAAGTCAGGGTATATTATTATGGGTGATGGTATAGTTGACCAACTCACTTAGAACCTACACGTGACCTTAACTTTTTTTATATGTGAAACCATTTCGAAAACCTATTGAAGCACAGGATATGTTTTATCTTAGCACTAGACACTTCCATTAGAGAACTATAAGTATAATTGCCAAAGAAATTTATTCTGCTTTTAACCAAAACTAAGCATTTACCTTGAATTCAAATATTTCTTCTACTCGTAGTCTATAGTTTTTGTGATAAGGTACACCCTGCATGTGCCCAGGGAACAGCTATCTTAGCAGACCTGCAGTTTCCTTCAATGTCATTGTACCTCGAAGCCTAAATTCGATTAACTATAAAAACTGCCAACGTCGTTTAAAGCCACCAGGTTACCTTGAGTAGCTTTATTTTTTTTATGAAATCGAATTCATTAATTTGATAGCCGCCTGGCTATCCAAATATATGTTAATAGTTTTGGATACAACATGTCTACTAGAGCTAACTTAAAAGCTACTTCCTTGATTGCTAAAACGCCCACCTCATAAATACTATTATGGTCTGAGAGACTGATACCAGTACCAATCCCAAATCCTTTAAGAAACCTCCAAAGCTAACACTATAATAGTCAGGAAGATGAAAAGACAATTTCAGTCCTAAATCCTACAAAACTAAGAAGCTACATATTTTATCAAGTTTATATCCTTGGTATAAAAGTTTACTTCTTTTTTCTCCAAGATGTAAGTCCTCCTCCTACTCCTTAAATGGATTTGCTTCCAGAAGTGCCTAACAAATTGAATTTCGGAACAGAATGGTCTATCTCTTGTATACAATTTCTCCACTTACACAAAATATCAGAATGTCGAAAATATGGATAGATTAAGTTGCATCTCCATGGTTTTACCAGGATGTTGAAAGAATAGATCAAATTATTCGGGCAGCTCTAACATCTTGGAACATTTAGTGTTCATTTCAAATGTGAGAACCCTTTGAAGCACTACTAATTATATATGATTATAATAGTCATATGCTCATTATAAATTATAAAGTGTGAAGTCTGAAAGAATAGGATACTCAATAACTCGTTACACAAGAATTGTTTATTGATTTATTTTATTGTTTACATAGTTACAAAATGTTTATAAAAATGTGTAAAATATTAATGAAAAAAAATTTATAATTATTAATTTTTGCAATTAAAAAATTTAATTTAAAAACAATTTAATTATATTTAAGAACTATTACACTAATATGTTAAAATAAAATGTTAATAAATTAGAAAGATGAATAAAATAAATAATGAGGATGTGTGTAAAAAATGAAATAAAATAAATGTTATAAAAATATAGAGCACAACACAAACCAAATTATTATTTAGAGTTTATAATATAGAAATATATTGCTTTATATATAAACTCCGAAAATTTGCTATATTATTCCATCATGCTCTCTTAAAGAAGCAGTTAAAACAATATAAGAAAATTTAATTAATTATGAAATATATTCGCTTTAAAATACATATGATAATATTATTCATGTTTTTATTCAACATAAGTGTTCGTTCTTTGTAGTTTATGTACCTAAAATTAATTAATTATTTTTAACAAAACAACGTAAACAATGAAAAACTTCATATAAATCGACTAATTTTAATTTTAATTACAAAAAAAGGGTTTTCTCTTTGCCTCTAGTTACAATATTAATAACACAAATTTTTTTGTTTTATTTTGAAGTAAGAATTATGACAATAATTACGTTTTGCATAACAAAATTTTAACAAATTATATAACAAATTGATTTGTAGAATCACTTAAATGGATTGATTTTAATATAATCAAAGGAACGAAACTTGTTTCATCATCATTAAATATTACTAATTTTCTTGTAATTCTAAATAAGTTTGTTTTTTAAAGATATTTTTTCTAAAAAAAGCAATTTCTGTTTTAGCATTACTTCTTTCTAATACTTGCGAGATATATAAAATCTCTTCACTTCTTATACGTAGGCTGTCAGCACTTTCTCATTAATTTGCTATTACTAATTTTTATTAGTCTAGTTAATAAATTAATGTATATTATACGTTAGTAAGAGTATATTACGATATATATTTCTTTTGGTAATACGTAGAATAATATTTGCTTATAATTATAATTTATTCTAAACAAATTAGCAAACCAATATGAAACTGCAGTAATAATTTATTATAAAGAGATTAAATAAATTATTAAGCTAATAATATCAAATATAAATTAATTATAAAAAAATTTCCTTTATTAACATACAGGTTTTTGAATTTTATTTAACTTGAGGTGTCTTATGAATTATTTTCCTTTTTAAACAAAGCCAACTTAGCTTGAATATGTTGAAGCCGATTTGGAGATAGTTCATTACGCTAAAAATAAAAATTTATTAATATAATTATGTATTATATACTAACCAATTCAAAATAAAATTGAAAAAACAATAATATCAGTTGCAACATTTGTGCTATGTGCAAAATTGTGTTCAATATTTGCTATTTACTCACATCACTGCGTATTAGTGACACCTTCTGGCCTGCAGTCAAAACATTCAGGTTGAGATTCTCATCTGCAACTTTATTGTCCAGTAAATGTGTGCCTAGCGCATAACTGCCATCAGGATTACGAGGTTGTGTTAAATTACTTTGAGCTTTTAAGCGATTTAAACGATCCAACCAGTATTCAGGATCCACTCTAACATCACCAGACGCAGTAGTTGTCGATATAGAGTTTTGCGTCAAAATATTTGCATCTATTATAATTTTAGAACGTGATGACGCTATTTGATTATTATATGAGGATAGAAAAAGTACGCAAATAAAATGTGAAGCAAAAATAAAATTGCTATTATGTGTAAAAAGAGTGCAACGTGTGCACAAAAAATTTAAAAAAAAAACATTAAAAAACCCTAAATATATGTTGGGTCAATCAATCTAGAACGTAAAAATAATGTATATTTTTTTAACCCTTATCCCAATCAACTTTTTTTTACTGAAACATAAAGAGCAATGGATTGGGTTTGTGACCCGGAGTTACTCGTGAAAAGTGTACCTGTGATTCGTTTACTCTATTTCAATATCACTGCTCGCCTATTATTTATGTAAGGTGAACACAAACACAAAGCATATTTAAAAGAAGAACTCAAATCGAAAGAATGTTAGAACAACAATACAATAAAACATTAAGATCAACTGTCTAAACGATGGTTAATAAATACTTTTTATTTCAAGATCTAAAACAAATTATTTTAAATATAATAATAATTATTTATAAATATAAATGTTTTCAAATGAAGAATAGGGTGAAACTCAACAATTAAATTAGCATTTTAACCTAATCCAACTAATTCACATCTGTCATGTAAATATATAATAATGTCACGCCTATCCACTTCGGACATGTATATGCTATAGTTTATTTCATATTCGTGGTAGTCATCAACCCAACAAATGTTATAATCATTATTCTTTTTTTTATATCTTCAAAGACTACAAAAACACTAACTAACAAAAATACAAATAAGTAACATCGTAACCAAAACAAAGATCAAATAATATCTCTATTTGTTATAGAGATGCGTTTAGCCTATTAACGGTTGATGTTGAATACAACTTATAACTATAGGTATATATAGACAATTAACATATAACAGGGAATAAAAACGCATATACTGATAGGGTAATAACAAATTTTACTGAATAAGGAATAACTATAGTAATAATATTAAGAATAAATAATTATCATGAATTTGTTCTGTTGCAATTTGAATGGACGTTTAAATATAACTGAGAAGATCTACCAATATTCTAATCAAATAAATGACAACTTGTATACGTGTTATAACCATGGACCGAAAATTAGTTATTTCAAAAATTTTTATGAAAAAAAGCAGCAACAAAAGGTTTTCTAAACTCATATTTAGGGATATATATTTATCATTCTAAGATCTTTTATCATTAATAGTATGCATGCTTTTAATATATGAACATTTTAAAATAAAACTCAAAAAATAATAATTAAATTTGCTTTATATTATATTCCTCAAAAATAATTATTTTATGTGCCTTTTTATTTTTTCGCGCAGAAGTAACTCTTTAACTTTTGCTTTTTATTTTAAAATGCCCAAATAACTATTACTTTTGCATTATAAATATAAAAATCATGAATAACTGACACTGGCTGCCGAATATATTTAAAACGAAAACATAAAATGCATTTATCATACAAGGTAGTTGTTTTTGTGATTCCATACAAAATGTGCACATTTCTAAATACAAAACGACTCAGAACTCACTACGAGTAGATAGTTGCACTTCGAGAGATCTATCCATACCCTACCCAATCAACAATCTAAGTAAGGTGTGTTATTAATTTCTTTATATTTCATATTTAACACATAGCTGCCCATACAAATAAAGTTAAGATTTTACTGATGTTTTAGTTTAATAAACTTGTAATCTGATTTGTATGAAAAATCAATCATGTTCGATCTTGATAAGAGTATTGTTATTATTATAATAAGAGTATTAAATGCTATTACAGTATGATGAAGTGCAAGTGGCAGAGGAAGCGTTTAAGAGAAAAATTCTCGGTAACATATTTGGTCCTCTACGAGTTCACCACATTGACATATTTGAGCATCGCTGGCGAGCTTATATCGTAAGGCTTTATGTCATTTGTACTAAGACGCAGGGGAAGACCATGCAGGGGAAGACCATGGTGGAATGGACACCAACCGTGCTTGATATACTAGACTGAAAAAAGTGCATACGCAGCAAAGGCGCCTACAGAAGAGTGTACATTAAGACGATAACTAGTTTTCATAGTGAAATAAGCAAGTAATTGTATTTAAAGTAGCAATTGAATAAAGACCCCCATATATCAAAAAAAAAAAAAAGCTATACAGAGACCCTTCATATATTTAACAAAAAAAAAAAAAAAAAAATTAAACGACATACCTAAACGATTATCTGTACTTGATGTTGCCAAAACGGCAGTTTGTCCCAAGTTATCCACGTTTTTATCTACTTTAGCACTTGAGTTTCTTTCGATTTCAGCCAAGCCGTCTTCGATGTATTTTTGAAAATTGGGAGTTGCTCCCTTGAGGAATGCACTTATGTCTATGTTTGGATTTTGTACCTTTTTCAAAAATATATAATTATTCAGATGTTTTTAAGACACAAAATTATTTTAAAAAATTTCTTACCTTAAATTCATATAATTTTTGTAATCCCTGCTGTTTTGTTTCTTTATCTGAAATGAGTTTAAATATTTGAGACATCACTTCTGGAGCTTGACTTAAAGCGCGTTTAGAATACAGTTCTTTAGCAGAAGTTGAACGCTGAGGTGCGCCTGAAGGAATGGTACCATCCTTTTGTAAATTCTTAAAGTAATTGAATTAATGAGAACTTTTATGTATTTCATATGTAAATATATATATAATGTTATATATAACTACTTTTGTCGCATAATATTAAAACAACATAAAAATAATAAATACATTGATTATTGGAATATATATATGATCCTTAAATAATAAATATTTATTTTTGCTTCTTGTGGAAGAAAATAAATCAGACTTTCTTCCGAAAAATAAAAACAAAATATCAAATTATATATTTAATAATATTGTAGCAAGAAAAAACAAAAAAAAAAATAAAATACAGCAAATTATTCGATCATTCAGTATTCAGTAATTTTCAGTATAACTATATTATAAATTATTTTTTAAATTGTTTTGTTTTTCATACCTTAAGTATTCTCAATAAATACGAGTGTAATTCTGAGTGCCCAGCAGATGGCGGTAAATGATCTAATATAGCATTTCCTTTAATTTTGGCCATATTGTGTATAATTGTTTTGATTGTACGCAGAGGCGTATCGGTTGGACGTGACTGCCACCAAGCGCTCGGAAGATCTAGCATAAACTGATTAACTTCCAATAGTACGGCATCATAGTGTAGTTCATTAGAACGTTCTGATAGCATTTTCACGTTTCTCCAAATGCATTTCATAAGTAGATCAGTAAATTTAGGCAAGCCAGCAACAGGACAAGTTTCGCGCAACAAACGTATTAGTGCACTTTAATTAAAGAATGTATAAAAGTTTTATATATAAATATATATTTTATAGAAAAGTATTAAAAATAATCAATTTATTTCTTTTTTTTTTTTAACAAATTGTATACAATTGTTATAAATGTATTATTTTCTTTAATTTCATTTTATAATGATTTTAATTTTGGACTTTCTTAATTTATTTATATATTCTTTTTATTTTATTTTTTTTAAATCTTAATTACTTTTATAGAAAATTTGTTTTGTGTTAATTAATTTTATGTAATTTATTTAATTATTTGTTTATTTTTTTATTTTATATGCAAAAAAAACAATCTTCATTGCATGCATTTCATATACTTTTTTTTCTTACCAATTTAAGTTCGTAAAGTTAACTTTATCCAGTATTTTCAGGCATATACCATTAATAACCTTATTGTATTGACTATCGTCACCATTATTTAGTTTTTGATCAGCCATTAAATTTAACAATACAGTCATTAGGTCCTTTATACAATTAACACTCAATGTTCTACCAAGTGACTTTGAATAGAAAAATGTGTATAATATAGAGAGCAGTGGTTGATATACAATCACAGAATCTGCTTGAGGTACTTGAGATAAATGCTAGAAATTTATAAAATTTAATTAAATAAAATTTGTATAAAAATAAGAATATTTATATTTAAATACTTTTAATTGCGCCAGTGCGCTTTGTATGAAAAGTTCTTCATAATCACGCAACACAAGCTGTCTCTCTTCATAATCAAGTATCTCAGTGATTTCGTTTATAGCTGCGCGTGCTTTTAAAGTATCGGTGCTGCTAATACCATTGATGATTTTAATTAAATTTGGATCCAATTTTGGTAAACTAAAAAATAGATAAATATAGCTAAACATGACAAAAGATGCAGTTCTAATGGGCATTTAAAAATTATATAAAAATGAAAAATTCTTAAATTTATTATCTAACTATAAGACAAGAACTTTAGTTCTACAAAACACAATAATAAGAAAAAATAAATATCTAAAACATTAACGCATGTTAATAGTTTCTCTGGAAGATCTAACACATACAATGACTTCAAATATTGAAGTTATATATTGAATCGGTGCAAATAACAAAACAAAAATGATAGGAGTTTATCTTGGGGTTATAAGTATACTATTTTAAAAGACATAAGTTAACACCCGCGACCTCTCAAATCCGGTCCATAACTTCATTAATGGCATAATCATGCGATATTATTCGATGGCCAGATTGCTACTAAACGAGACTTCAACTTGTTTGTCTGGAAAAGTCTTGTTTTGCTTTGGTAGCTCTCAACTTTATAAGCGAAATTTCTTCACTTTTACTTAGGCTACTGAATTAAAAACATGTTCTCATCGTTTTATTTAAATATAATTATTAACTTATACAATAAGTATATTACCCCTCTCTAGTCCTATATGATATGAAAAAAATGTTTATATCAATGATATGAAATGAATGGTTAATAGCATATGACATAAGGCATTCCTCATGTTAAGAAAATATTTGTTATAAATATTTTAGTTTCATTGGAAAAATATAGCTTCTTGATTAGTTGTTACGGGTTTACTTTTGCCTTTTCCATAACATAACAATTATTTTTTTTTTAACTTGTTGCTTTGTCATAGCTAAAAACATGGCCTTTTTCAACAAGAAACATACTGCGAACTGAAAAAATATTCAATGTGTTTTACTAGGACTGGTGAAGTATTTAAAGTTTTTGCAAGGACTTCACAAAAAATAATGTCATTAAAAATGAAACTATAATATTTTATGTATCGGACCGACAGTTCAGAAACTTTATCTTAAATGGTAACGATATCCAAATCCGAACATTATATTTTCATATTTTATTTGAACTAAATTCTTAGTAACCGATTTCGTTCATTCATTCAAACTCTGTATGAAAAATAATTTAATTAATTTTTATAAAATAAGATACGATGTATACAAACATAGAATGATTCGTTTCGTTCATCTTATCTAAAATGTAATTCATAACGTTTTCGATGTTGTCTTCACAATGTTCCAATATTCACAATGTTCATTGTAATTCAGTTAATATACTATTATGCTTTAAAAGGATATATCGGTGACAAAATATTAAATATGTTATGTTCAAAAACTAGAAATGAAAGTATATATACCATCGTTCAGTACCGGCTGTTGGACAAGTTTCACGTCTACTCTTTAATAATAATAATAATAAAATAATAATGTATACTACCGTATATTACAGAGCTAAATGCCAGCATTTTTAATAAATCTAACATTTTTAGTATATAATATGGTTACACTTGTTTTCAATAAAAGATAATTGCTATAAAAATAGCTGTTAATTATGTTAAATAATTAACAGTTAAATGACTCGCAATTATTATTCAATGCATTTGTTATATATATGTATTATATTAACATATTAAATTGTGTTATAGAATTATTAATTCTAATAAATATATATATTAAACAAAAAAAAAAAAAACAATAACAATTAGGTTAAAACACAAACACAAAATAATTTTATTAATTTATTGATTCACTACCAATCCAAATAATTAATAAAAATAAAGACATTATGATTTGTACATACTTAGCTGGATTATTCATATGCTGTTGTGATGGACTCATGAATGGTGAGACGACGCCTCTACCTGGAGGAGTTGAATGCGTTTGCATAAGATGTGAGCGCGCTATCAATTCTTCGAACTTATCTTGCGGATATTGCACACCATCACGTGTTGGTATAATCTTAATGGGTTCGTACAATATTGAAATATCGACAGTTGGTACTTCTTCTTGTTTGATTTGATCTGCACGCACCCAACCTTTTTCGATATCAGCAATTACATCTGGATCTAAACCGAAGGGACCTGTTGATTTAATTGGTTGTTGCGTTTGCGTTAAATGTAATTGTGTCGATGATGGTTGATCAAAAGTTCTGTATGAAAAAATATTATATTATTATATTTCAAATTTTAATTAAAATAAACGAGATTACAGTAAAATTATAAAAAAGCAACACAACAACACAAAAAAAGTATACAAAAGAAAAAATAATAAAATAAATAAACATTAAAAACAAACAAAAATTAAAAATATATACATATGAAATGAATACCTAATATGTAAAGTTAATAGTTATTAAAGCTTTCATTTGAATATGGGTATTTTTAAAATTTTTGTCTGACTTTTTATTGTATGTTTTATATTCGTTTAAATTGCTGCTTTTTATACAAAGTGTGTTCCCTAATAAAATATTCTAAATGTGAGAGAAAGTTCCTTAGTCGAAAAAATGAAAGGAAATGGTGTTTCACAAGATAATGATCTATAAAAAATAATTTCACAATATGTAGTTCTGAACCACCATAACTTCTGAATTGATTTGAGTACTAAGGCATCTTGGGTATTAAAACATATATTTAATATGCTTAAAATTTGTATAAGAGTTTAAATAAACTATTGTTAAGATAAAGAGAACTTTTTAACTGAGTGTTTTTTCTTTGACAACTAGTATTTCGGTAAATATAAAAAATGTAGTGCCCTCCCATTCGATTTTTTTTTCCATTCTTAGAACAAGGAATCACCTACTCACATATGCAACTCTGGCATAGAAATAAGTAATAGAAAATATATGTTATATAGTTATACAATATATAGTAATGGAACGCAGTTTATGCCTACATACATAGACAGTTAATATATGAAATTTAAATTTAAATGTAATAAAATATTAAGGGCATGGTAATGTCTTGATCACAACAACTGAACAACTGAACTTATTACTGCCTAAATAGCAAGCAAATATTTATTGAAAAATACATTACAATGAGAGCACGTTGTTGTTTATGCTCCTATTAATCCATTATTTAAAAATGCTATTTATTTTAATTTTGACTAAATCTGTACTAAATATAATGATAATTCAGAAAGCCAATTGAAGCTGTTAATTCTGGAGACGATACTTATACGAATAATGTACCTTCAAAATCACTTCAATAAAAGCCTTTTAATATACACAAAAGAAGACAATCAAACATATGAAAGTTATACTATATGTTGACATTTTTGTTATTAAAAATAAAGTTAATTTAGTGTCAATCTTATGATTTACTATTTATTTTAACTATTGATTTGTTGTAAACATTAAAAAAAAGGCAAAAATTAAATAAGAATTGCTTTAAACTTAAATTTGCTTAAATAGATAAACCAGTATTTCTTCAAAATTTTAAATGCTGTCTATAATGGGAAGATTTTAACATATGAAATTGCGATGTTACTATATATACCACATATGCGATATGTTAACTATATATATTCATAGTAATATAATATTTATGTTTAATACAATTTTTTGAAATTTAAATTTCATAGTCAGACGTATAATTATTATAAAGCAAAATAAAATGTAAGCGAAATAGAACATCTTTGATAATAAAAAAAAAAAAGATAAAAAAAATATTAACAGATAAAAAGATTTTTCTTTAAAAAATTGGTTTAAAATATTTTTTTGTATTTTTATATTCAGTACTCATTGAACCCAAAATTTAACACAATGTTTATTATATTTAGTTTTTATATTCCAATCATTTGTTTAAAAAACAAAAACAAAAAAAGAAACATAAAACAAACAACATAATACTTGAATATGTATTTAAAACATATATCTAGTTAGATAAAAATTTGAGCATTTACAATTCAGTTTTATGAAATCTATGTGAATTTAAACAGTAAGTAAAAAAAACTTACCAGTAATTAATAATTCTTGAAATTGCTTAGTTGCGAAACTTGATTTCTTTTTTTATGAAATTAAAAACGTGTGTTAAAGTTCAGGTTCAACATGCAATGAAAAATTCTTAAAGAAAAATTTATCAAAATTTTGTTCCCTTGTTTCGAGAATCGGGAATATAATAAACAATTAATTAAATAGTTGCATTCATTATATAAAGTTGCCAATAGCATATATTTATATATTAAACACTGTTCCATAAATACAGACAAATATATGGACAAACAACACAAAAATAAAATATTTTTGAAATCACAGATAAAAATATATGAAAAATATATGTAACAAAAATTATATATATTTAAGAAATTATTACGCTTCTCTTTTCAACGAATGAGGTATATGCAAAATATTTTCGTCCATTTGTTTTTGACGCACACTTGCAAGATTATTACTAAATTAAAAATTTAAGAAATTAATAATTAATTAATTAATAAAAACAATATATAATAAATAAAAGCAATTTTTCAATATAATAAATAAGGCATTTTAAAAATTAATTTATTTAACTCTACTTTTTAATTAGTTTTGTCCACATGCAATACTTTCTAATATATTATTCACTTACCTAGGTGATTCATGCTCTTCCGGCAACGGGAGTTCATCGTCACAAATGCTAGGATTAGAATCATCAATTTCAATACTATCCTGTTGCACTACCTGCACGGCAGGTTTCGCTAATTCTACAGGAGGCGTTGGCTTTTTTGTTTTTTTAGCACGTTTTATGCGTTCATCTAACATTGACATATCCTTTTCACTCATTTGCCCAATCAATTTGTATATTTTTTCTCCTGCTAGGAAATATGCACTCACTACTGTGTTTAAAGCTGCATTGCGTACCGCATTATCACGATCAGATATATGACGTGCTATTTCTTTCAATGCTGCTTGTTGCGTTGGTTGGCAAACTGTCATTCCATATGATTCTATTAAAAAGCCAAGTTCATCCAAACATTCTGTGCGTTGACGTGCATTCTTTGATTTCAGTCCTTCCATTAGAAAACTAAACAATTTAGTATAAGGATAAACGAGCATTATTTGTCGTAATAATGTGCGTGTTGCATTACGTATAGCGTCTTTAGGATCACCAAGCTGCATAAAAAAAAAGATTATTTAATTTCATATATTAATAAACTGTTAATAAAATATTATATCCTTTAAAATAATATTAATAAATAAACAGAACATAAATAATGTGACAAAAATTTCATTTCGGAAGTGAAAATGAACATGTTATAAAATATGACTAAATGATGGTATATTATATAAAATAAATATATATAAAAAATGTGATTTATTTAAAAATGTGTAGGTAATTAAAATTATATTAAAAAAATTAAAAAAAGTGAATTTTCTACATTTGTATTTGGCGAAAAAATCACTTTAATCACGTATTAAATTTTAACTAAACACATTTACAGTTACTGAAATGAAATTAGATGTAATTAATTAGTTAATATGGCAATTGCATTCCTTCCAATAATAGTTCAAAATTTTTTGCCAAATTTGTTTATGTGCAGAATATTACAGATATACTGCAAAAACTTCCATTGAGATAGAAAAACACCATACTCTGTTCAACCAATCAAGAATATATACAATAGAATATGTCAATTCGACTCGATCATCCATCGGAAAGTTTTTTACCATTAACAGTTATATTCTGGATATATTTTTAGTACTTAAAAGTGAACAGATTTTATACGAACATTAATTTATTCAATATCCAACTATACAGCGACCGACGTTCTTACATAGACTTATATGAAGTTATTGTCCTTAGATTACAATTTTAGAATATTGAAAGTGGGACAATGTCATCTCCAATGATGTATGCCCAATTTCCCAAATGTTATATTCAGTTTTAAGAAATAACTAGCTGTTTAAATTAACTTTTCGAATATTGACTTCAATATTGACTCTGAAATATCAGGACTAATTCCAATAATACTTTTTGTCACGTAAATCATTAGTTAATGTTTTGAAAAACTAGCCTAATTACCTAAGCCAATATAAATATAAATATTGTAAGCGATAATGGAAGAAAGGAGACGTAGAGGTAGACCATGTCTCCGGTTGCCTGATCAAGTTGAGTAAGCTCTGACCGCACTTATTGTTGGAGACTGGAGAAGGTGAGTACGCCTTCTCTGATACAAATATTTCACAGAAAAAAATTTCTCAATAAATGAAATAATATTACCATACTATATGTGAGATCAGTAAATTAAGATTTGTACCTTTAAGAGTAAATGCGGTATAAATGCGTAACCTTCGTTTTCAGCTAAAATATATTCCAGTTGCACCAATTGACTAAACACTGAATTTAGATATTCCAGACCCTTAATTATTACAGAAGGGTTTGTATCATAAAAACGCAGTGATAACCATTTTAGTATTAAATCAAGATTGCAGATTAAAGCTTTGGGGTTGCTGGGTAAATCTTCGCTCAATGATTCTATCACTTTTAAATGATATCTGTAATAAAAATAATAATTAGTATAAATTAAATTAAATGTATTCATTTTTTTAAAAAAATTTCTATTTCAAGTCGCTTAGTTCTGCATTTCATTTGATTTTATGATTTAAAAATTAATATTTAAACTATAAGCATTTTTAGCTAAGCACAAAAAATATTGTGACTGAAAGCCCATTTTACATATCTGGAATATGTTATTAGATAAATGCGAATTTACTATAATTTATATTGTTATTACTTATAAGACGACAATACTTATTAATTTTTTAAAAGTCGAAATACAAAACTACGCCGTTGTTAGTAAGAAAACGAATATTAATTTTACCTAAAGTCATCATGAAACATATTTGCCAGTAATCGTTTATTTACATTGGCTGCAATCATTTGATCCCTTAATAATTCCGTAAACTCTTCACGTGGTGTTGTGAATGCCCACCGCAAAACACGCATTTTTTGTTCATCAATCAAGCGCTGATTTTTCATATTATTTACTGCCAATAATGGTGAAATGTCGATCTCCTCTTCTTTCTTTCGTGAGTTACCAGCTGTTTTCTCAGGTGGTGTGGTTTTATTTGCTGAAACTTTTTGTGCGGCTCCACCGCCACGAACAGTTTTTTTGGGTTCTTCTACAATCGGTGCTTGTTGCTTACCTTTCGGTAATGGCTTAATAGGTAAATTAGGACGTGCCTTATCTAATGAAGTTTGTATATCTTTCTTAGCAGCTGGTTTTTGTTTATCTAAAGCTTTGATCATAGCATCAAATCCAAGATGAATCATAACACCGAGTACAGCTTCATTAGCGTTTTTTCGCACATCAGCATTTCGATCACAAATGTGAGCATAAAGGTGAGGTATTAGAGAAATTAAATCATCTTTCGATATTGATTTTGGCGGCATTTGTGGTAAATGTTCTGCTAACCATTGCCATAATTCAGTTTTTAAACTAGGAGAACCTGATTTTAGAGCATCCGCAATCATTTCACCTATAATTGAACATTTAAAAAATTTAAGAAAAATAAATACAGTAAAAATTATTTTAATTACCTTCGAAGAACTCCTTATAACCACCTTTTTCACCAAAACTATTTATACAATTTAAAGCGGCAGTGCGTACAAAACTTTTGCTATCACCAAGTGCATGTAATATACCAGGGAATAGTGTTCTCACATATTTACTGCAGCCTGAACCCATAGCATTAGCTAGTTGTTCACAAATTGCCAAAGCTGTTTGTGCGATTTTGGCATTTGAATCGAATAATCGTAGCGCTAAAGCTGGAGCTAAATCACCAATTGAAGATTTTATTAATTTTGCTTCACTTATAATAGCTTGCACTTTAATAAGTCCTTCATTACGGTTTTTCCAGTCTTTATCACTCATTTCAATAAGTAATAGTTCCGTTATTTGTGGAGAAATGTCAACGCGGGGTAATAAATCTGTTAAATTTATTTTCTCACCACCACCTTCGTTCCGCTGTTCATCATCATCGCACGTTTCATAATCAGCTTCTTCGTTTTTATTTGCGGCTACCGCAGATTTCTTTACTCCCCTTATAGGTTTTGGCGGTTTTTCACCAATATTTTTATCTATTTCTGCTTGAATTTGAGTTTTCAGAGCAGGTTTTTCATTGTCAAATAAAATCATCAATGTATTCCCCATAAACATAGCCATTGTGCCGAGTAGTGTAATTGCTGAACTTCGTACCACAGGATTTGTACTTTGCACTGCTTTCCGTAAATCATCAATTAAAACCTTTGCTTGAACTTGGAAGCCGAACTCTAATACACATTTATTGACCCAATTCAAAGCTTCTGACTGCATTTTGGGTGATTTTTGTTCAAAAGCAAAACCTATAACTTTTCCAACAACATAATCAAGTTTTGTTGCTTCAGCAAATGCAGTAAGTACTTCTGCAGCCGTAGTTCCATTTTTTACATCAGCCAACTTTTCTGTAATTTCGTTACAAACAATATCTACAGTTATTGTTGTTAATGGAAATGTTTCTGCAACAGCACGTATGATATCCAATTTATGTTTAAGGACTTGAAAATTCATTTCCTAAAATATGAAAAGATAGTATATGAGAATTATAATAAATATAAACTGAAATACAAATAAAATAGTACATTAACTGAAAAAACGATTTTGGGTGTATATTACCTTCAAGCCTGGTTTTCGTCCACTAATAGTTCGAACTAACACTTGTGAAATTCCTGGTGTTTTAGGATCAAACTCTGGTACCTGTGCTAATAAGTTTTCAACAGCTGCAAGCCGATTCTTCCAGTTCGAATCTACCAAGCCTTGCAATATATCAGCAGCGATTAATTCATCACCTTTAGCTTGTACTTCCTCGGGTGTCATTTCTCTTTCAGTCGCTAATGATTTTGAAGAGGCTGACTTTGTGGCACCGCCACCAATGGCGTTCGAATCTCCACCACCAGTATTTCGACTAGCAGCTTTTTTAGGCAACGCTTTTTTAACGCCTGCAGTTGATGGTCGTACAACCGGTTTTGGTTCAGTTGAACCGCCTTTAGAAGATACAGTGTTTGCTGGTTTGGATGTTGGAGCAGTAGCTGGTCGTTCCTTTTTAGCTCCAACAATTTTGACTTTAATTTCTGCGTTATCGTGAAATTCTTTTATTTTAGCCATTTTTAATGCATCTACATCAACAAGTAATGGCGCAACTGTTTTTTCACCCATCAATTTCATTAAAGTGCCAATTGCTTCGGCAGAACTATCACGTACATTTGGATCGGGTTCATTTAGCGTCTTTACTAAAGTAGTTACTAGTAATTTTAATAGCTTTTTATTAATTGCTGCAGGCTGTGTACGTGCAAATGCACGCGACAAAAATGAACCTGTTTCTAATTTAACAGTAGGGTTCTTACTTCCCAAAGATTCGACAATACATTCTTGCATAGCTTCAAGATTAGTTGAGGGGTAAATTGCATCGATAGCCTCACGTAATGCTGTTACAACATTTGATTTCTTCTCTTTGAATTTTTCCAGAAGTGTAGGAAGACAACCCTATATTTATATTTAAATATATTTGTAACATAAATGTTTTGTTATATTAGTTTTAAAACTCACCATTGCATAGGGAGAGAAACGTTTACCCAAACCTTTTGCCAACATAGCCAAACATTTACCACCCATTGCCACTAATACTACGTTAGAGTCTTTAGCAACTATTTTTCTTAATGTATTTATCAGTGTGCCGTACTCCCCACTTTCTAGTTTGGGGTTTTCCGTTAATAGTTTTTCTAGCGTTTCCAATGCCTCTTTTCGAATAGTCCACTTTTTTTCTTCAAGTTTCTCATAAAAATCTTTCGGTATTTTTGAAAGTATATCTACTGGATCCATAAGATCCATTGGATCAATTTCCTCAACTTCTGCCTCCCCATCCTCATCTGAAAAAGCAAACAATAATAATTGAAAATATTTATTGGATTTACTTTAACACTTTAAATAATCATAACATAATTTCAATATATATTTCATATTTTACTAGTTGTTTGTATATGGAGTTATTAATGACAATAATAATTGTTAACGTAGAGGAGATTTTTAATACTTTTTTAGGGTAAAAAACTTAGGTGTCCAGTGTTATTTCGCATTCTTAATCTGATTGTAAATGTAAACGAAACTAAAAATTTTGCCCTTCATTCTCAGAGCAATTATATATAATCCTGCTTATATACAAGAAAGAAAAGGAAACATTAAATATTACTGCATGTTACGCTTTGACACACGTCCTACTTTGTGTGGTTTGCATAAATTGATGCGGCACGTAGGGTGCAATGTGAAATCATACGTAAAATAACATTCTTAGCTTTGGAACAACAGTGACCACGAAGTCTTGGAGTCAGGCTCCACAAGTTTAGGAGAAATGGTTAGAATACTGTTAGTCTTTCGTCGTTCGAAAATAAGTAAGTATTCTTGTATATGTTATATAGGGGCTATTGTACGGTTTTCAAACAGGAGTGCAAACCATAAAAATGGTACATTTTGTTATGAAATCTCATACAATGAACAAGTAAAGTTTTCACAAAAATGTAATGTAAAGAGAAGGTGATTACGTGAAAGATAATATACTTAGTAGTATAACGTCTTCAATAACTTTCGTTACAGGTGATTAAAGGAGAAGGATTAAAATATACAGAATAGACCGCTCAAATGTACAGTAGGATGCAATCAAAACAACACGCAATCAGCGTTTTGAGTAACTCTATATCTATCGTTTTCTTTATAGATGAAAGTCCTATAAAATCAACGTAAAATGTAGTACAAGTAAAACAGCTGAAAGTTTTTTTATTTTACTCTTAGATATTTTATCTAAGCAATTAAGAATAAAACCACAGAGAATTATACCTACACTATTACTAAATACTACAACTAGTACTGCTTAAACAAAATCTTATCTCAAAAGATACGAAATCAGTTAAAATTTAAAATAAATATATTAATTACAACGAGTTTATCAGATATTCATTTAAAATAGCATGACGATATCCGATTATATGTCTCTAAGTTTAAATTTCTTTATATTATTTTTAAATTTACCTGGTTCCTCAGCTTCTGCTGCAGCAGCAGCTATTTGCTTTTGTTTTTCTTGTTGAGATTTCAGATATCTAAAATTAAATGTATGTTATGTAGATAAATGATTTTATAATAATAACAAAATTTAGACATACCTGACAGGTTCAGGTTTTTCACCTTTCAATTTGTCAAACTCATCTTCGAGTTCTTTAATCGTAACTTGGGGTAAAGTTGATATTTGTTGTTTCATAGGTGCACCAATCCAACTAAAATAAAAAGTATGACATCCAATTTTATTAATAAAGATAAATAGTAATAATTTATTGAATAGACCTTAAATTATATTTTATAGGTAAAAGTATTAAACTTTTAGGTTAAATATCTGGTAAAATGGTAAAAATATTTTAATTTTGATAATATGCCGATTCTCATAACAAATCGATTTTAATTTTAGTTTCTAGTTAAATAATTGTATCTTAAATAAAAAATATAGTCTTAAATAGTTTGCTTATAACCTGAATAAAACCTTTATTTATAAATTATATATATTTAATCCTTTAACACCTAGGAGGAGCATAGGGTCGCGAGTTGACATAAAATAATTGGTATAAGAAATGTATAAACCAAGGTTTTTTTTGTTTAATATAGAACTTGTTACATTGTGGATTTATTTAAATTTTTCGATAATGAAGATCAAGATTTGCTTTAGGTGCAGTCAATAATAAATTTGTAGTTTTAACTACAATAATATTATTTCGAGATTCGCAAAGTTACCACAAAAATTATACCAAAATTCTTCATTACCTCCAACCGCTATTTAGAAATGATAACCTCAATGCTAAGAACAGGAAACTGATATATAACCAAATAATTCGTCCGTCACTTCTATATGGTTGTGTAGCGTTTAGCAAAGCTTCAAACACTAATATTCACCAGCTAGAAATTGCACAAAGCCAGGCTCTGAGAAGACTTTTCAAAGTTCATTGGTACATTAGGATGAATGACATACTCAGGGATCTCAAGATTAATCCCATCAAAAAATACATAAAGACTAGAGCCCTGAAATTATTTGCGAAATCTAACAGACTTACTAACACCGCGTTATCAAATCTCAGAATGGTTACAGGCTCCTCGGGGAGATATGCAGATCTGAGGTCAATTATTGCTTAGTCTAATGAAGTGATAAACAATAATCCAGTCAAGGCGCAAAGAGGGGTTTTGAAGAAACCTCGCAGTTAATAGAGAGTAAAAGTGCTCAGGTGCACTGACTCAACTAGCCGCAACATAATAATTTAAATTTTGTATATAAAGTATAATAAATATAATAGTAATATTTTAATAAGAACCATTAAAATAGACTTACTATCATAACTACAACAACACCATTCACTAAGATATAACATAAAATGTTTGCAATGATTTCAGGGACATGTTACTATTACTTTATAAATTCAAAAATAAGATAACGGTGCTAAGTATTTAAAGTATTACAAATAGTAGTGTTCTCAAAATTCTTATATTGTTTCAGTATTCTCTATTTGTTTGATATAGTGTAATTTCTCCAAAGACTAGTAAAACTTCAATAATGAACTATATTGATATTTTTTATCTTTTAATACTTTTCAGACAAAGTAATTTAAATACTATTTTATATAATGTAATAATATAGGATATATCTACTATAAAATAATTTTTTCTTTTTGTCTTCAACAGGTAAATGGTAGACTGTGATACCAATGATTGTGGAATGTATAGCCTGCGAGTAAATTAAGAATTAAATTGCTTAAATAGGACGAGATGTGAGAACATTTTATATCTTCATTAAACATTTCGCATAGATACAACATTCTGGTGGCTGCAGGCCCGGTCGTGTCGTACGTCCCGGAACCACTTGTAAATTTCGACCACCAAGTGCCGTTCACCATCCCCTAAACAAATTATACAATGCCTACAACAACATAGCAAGTGCATTTGATTACAACAATAGTTCAAATTTTTTTATATATTTATAGATGTAGAAAGGTGAATAAAAATTCTGTATAAATTATACCCGGAGATGGAGAAAATATATATATAAATAGTAATAATTTTTGATACAAACAATAAAAAATTATATAAATTTTAAAAATATATTTAAAAATATATATACGTTACCGATATATTTCAACAGCTAACTGTTTTCCCTCATCTCGCACACCTTTGTCGCGATCGCTCATTAATGGTGCTAGTTTCTTAATTAACGGTTTAACATTTATGACTTTAGAACCGAAATCATGTAGTGCCAATGTTGTGGCTGCAACGCAAGCTGATACGATTTTTGGATTCTTATGTTCCATACCCTTGCAAAGTTCTTCTAGAACTGCGTCTTGTTTCTCAATTTCAACATACATAAGTGTTATTTGTACGGAGAGGTCCTTAGTCTTTGTTTTAGGCGCAGCTATACATTTTTGTACAATACCAGACATAACATCTCCAACTGTTCTATTGGCATGTCCACAGCGTTCGACAAATATTAATGCTGCTTCAAGACCTCTCTCTTGCGCCATTGCATTTGAATCCACAACCATTTTTTTAATGAGACCAACGAATTTCATCCATTCTGGCGATTTATCATCGTCAATGTCTTGAAATATTTTAGCTGCCTCTTCGTAACCATCAACACGAGCCTTCCATAATTTATGAACGCAGCGCTCGTCAATTGGCAACTTTTTATATTCGGTATCCTCCGTCATTTTGACGTTCTATGGCAATATGTGATACGTGGTTAACTAATTTCAAAGTTCTAGTGTTGAAGCTTATATTGAAGTATCTTCTGCGTTTTCAATAACCACATAAAATTCAGCACTAAAAGACATAAGAAAATTTATTTATATTAAATTCAGCAAAAATTTCACCAAATTTATTTATTTTTATTTTTTTATTTATATTTAAATTAAAACTGTTCAAGCATTAAATTTTGATTAAAGATCTTTCAAATTTTCAATGTTAGATTGATTTCGGTTATTTTAATAGATTTTCGTAAGAAGTAACGTTATGGTTCAGTGCTTCAAAATCCAAGACTTATATGTATGTAAATATGACACCATTGAATGGAATTACGCCAAATAAGTAGCTTTAATGTAGACAATTATTAATTACCCTTACGTAAAACCAATCATATATCAATCAAATATTTTTTAATTATAATACAAAATATATATATAAACTATGAGATAATCTTCTGACAGCATATGTATATATGGCACATACTACAATATGTATAAGAGTTTTTATAGTTTGTAATTTGTATATTGTCAAATAGCAATTTCTTAGTACTTTAATTTCGGAATTCCTTAATACATAAAGATTTTTACATCGCTGCTAAAAATAAAAATTCTTCGTCCGAAAAGCAAATTTTTTTTAGATTTTCATGCAATTCTTACCTACTGATCGGACGCCAAGCTTTAGAAATATTTTATAGCAGCAAACAGTGCACGTACTCCAATTTTAGAAATTAGAATAGGCAACTAAAGAATTTTTATTTAAAATAAGAAATTTTTTTTTCAAATAAAGGCAGACACTAAAGCATTTTTATGGAAAAAATTCAGGTAATTTTGGATTGACTCAAATAATGTTTTTATACACTATTTGTAATAGTATCATCAATATTTGGATCTTGAAGCCACGTAGAATAGATAAGAATAGTAAAAGAAAAGAAACACCTATATGTGAATAATATGAGCAATTTCTCTCCGAGTTTTTTAAACCTGGAAAAAAATATGTTGATATACAACAAACTTATGGAAACTCTTAATCTTAATCGCCACAACCTTGAACTCTTCTATTGTATCTCACAATTGAAAAGATAACAGTTTGAAAGAATCGCTAACCAAATTCATAAATTAATTAATTAAGCACCAATGTTAAATACCATGAGTTATTGGAAATAACTTCTCAATTTTTCATATTCTCGGTTTTTAACCAATCCTATCGAAACAAGAAAACACTTCACAAGGCCAATATAACAATAGCATTCTAACTACTTAATTTAAACTGCAACTTTAGTCAATATAGTAAAGTTTAATTTAACATGAAATGTTTAATTATTACAGAATAAATTGTCCTAACCACAAATAAATATAGAATCTCGACTGCTATAACATCTATTTTGTTTCTCGTCCCTTTAAACCACAAACTTATACTTCTGTCCCTTTGGTATGTACACATATGATCTCATGTATAACATTTATATTCCTCTTTATATTTCGGGAGTAGCTGAATTTTGCGATAATCATATTGGACACTATCTATTTAAGCATTCATATATTTACTTTAGTTTTCTAATATATCTTTACTTTACATTCCCGAGATAATTCTCTCGCAGTGATTAATATTTTAAATATAATTTTGTTTTTTTTTGTTTAAAACTGAGTATGTTGAAAAAGGAAAATATACAATTTTTGAAGGTATTTTTATATTATACCTTCGATTTTCTATTATATCGAACATTTCTTCCACTTCTGATCGTAATTGTTAAATAGTATATAATATCATTACAATAATGAAGAGAGGAGGTCGTATGATTAGACCTTCTCTCTTTGTGTAATAAGAGAGGATTAATTATTAAATTAATTATTTATAATATGTTTACATCACTTTCCAATTTTCATAAACAAACTACAAAATCAAAATTATGAAACTATACCTTCTCAAAAAAAGAGCCTAATAGTTTTTATCTATAAAATGAAAAATTATTATTATTATTGATTATTTTGTTTAAAGATATTACCACCAATTTAAAACCATAGATTGATCTTTTAATGTATTGTTCAACCACAACTGATTTTTTACTTTTTATTAAAAACTTCAAAAATAAAAAAAAAAACTATATATATAATATACATATATAATATAGATATATAATAGAAATATGAATTTTGAATGTCAAAGTATTTGATTTGTAAACAAAAGCTTACTAAAAATAGTTTATGTATGTTTATTATTGTACAATATATTTATACTACGCTATGGTATTATCACATTTGTTCAAGTAATGAGTAACACGATATTTTTTTGTTTGTGTTTTATATTAGGTCCCTGAGAATAGAAGGATATAAAGTAAAACTAATGTAACTAATATAAATTTACTTTTATAAATACCAATAATACCACCCCACTTTGTTTTTGTGGAATATATTTGTAACCATAATTTTCATTAAACCCAGAGGTCAATTACTACGTCTCAAAATCAGAGCTAGGAAATAATATCATCTATTGAAGATTATAAAAAGAAAAGTCAAACATTCACTCACCTACTAGGTTCATGTCCCACAGAATTGGTTGTGAATGTGCACATTCAATATGCCTGAATAGTTTTCCAACCAAAAGCAAATTCACCATAAAAATGATAAATCTAGAATATTTTTTAATAATAATTAAACAATTTTTGTGTGTGTATAATGGTAGTGATATGGTCCAATTATTCATTTTTTCAGAATGTGTTCATCCTAATCTATCATTCAGATCCCTGTGGTGAAAAAAAAATATTGAACTGAATTAAATTTTAAGAACTTATCAAAAGGAAGTTTTTTGTGGTTATTGGTGTATATAAACCCACGCAGGGAAACTGCATTACTCATAATGCAGTGGAAACCTGCCGGAAAAAGAAACCATTAAACACTTTCAGAAGAAATAGATTTATATTGAGGTATTTCTTCGACAGCTTATCAGACTGTTCATCGGTAAATACGAAAAACTTTTTAAATTATCTAAATTCGACAAGATAGATTTAATCTGTATTCTTCTATCTTATGGTTTCCTGTGATGAATGTATTAGCAAAACAGCGAAAAATTGCTAATCAAGATTGTCTACCACTGCAATCAAGCTGTAGCTGTTGCTATTAAGGGTAACAGGTTTCACTTACAACTTAAAACCTAATACATATATTTCATTTATGCATTTCTTAAGAAATATAACAAAAAAATTTAATAATAAATATGTATACAGAAGCAGGAGAAAACCTTTTCTGTTATAACAAAGGCATTATATGTTATTTACTATGACCAACTTCTAACTAATTACATACGAGTGCATAAAATTATTTAAACTAAAGTGCAAACACATAAGTTTGTGGACTATACTTGCGAGTGTGTTATTTTTATTCTAGTCTGCATAAGTAATGAATTCCATTTTGACACTCTTAGTCAGAAATAGAAGAATTATAGATTTTTATTAACTGAATACGTAATTAACATTTAACAATGTTATCATTGCTAGGCTGACTAAGAACACTGTGGGTATTAAACTCCAGAACTTATACGTGTAATTTTAGTAGACTAACCACTACACTACGATGACCACGCATGATTAAGAATAAACTTTCTAAATCCCGCCAAAAAACTAGGAAGTAAATGTTTTGCTAAGTACTGGTTCTATTTTTTTCAATAATAAAACTGATTTCTTTATGTCTCTCTCAACTTGTCTGTTTATTGTTTTTAGTAATTAAATTGTGGTTATTTTGAATTGACGTGTTGGCAGTCGACTGTAATCGCATTAAAAAGCGCAGACACTTTTGTGCGGCATTATTTCTAAGTGGGTGTCCACAGAAGTCTCTAACGATTTAATTTTTTATGTTGATATTTAAAAAAGTTAAATAGTATGAAATACAATATATTTATAAGTAATGAAATAGGAAAAAGAATTGTTACAGTCACGTTATGCAACGACAACAGTAATAGTGACAACATAGGAGCAATATTTTTGAAATGTTCAATAGCAATTATTGGTCATTTACCTTAATTGCAAGCCTAAGCAACATGTCAATTAGAAACCAATATATGAGTAGAATCAAACACCGGTCACATATCACTTCAATAAATACACAAAAATATTTAATATAATTTTATATATTTTTTGTTTTTTCCTAATATTGATTTGAATTTTCCAAAAATTTTCATGGTAAATTCGTTACTCATTGTTTTGATATTATTTAATATATGATAATGTACATTATGAGTATGTTTATTACTAAAAGGTGATGACGTATGCAAGTATCTCTTATTCGCAATGCTCTTTAGAGGTAGAAGAACTGAACTCACTGACTCACTTTTCTGAATGAAATCATGCAAAACACGCAAAGTCGCACTGAGAATTAAAGAAAAATATATTTCTTAATCAAATTATATATAAACAAAGTTGAAGAGAAATTTATATATTAACGTAATATATACAATAATATGTAAGAATATTATAAATAATACAATTATAGAGTTGTTGCATGATTAATTAGGATAGAATAAGGAATAATTTTAAAGCCAAATTTTGGCATATTTATTTATTACAAATTAATCAATTTTGTTTTGGTTCACAAAACAAAAATAAGAAGAAAAAATATATATACAACGAAGCACAGCCCATTTGTTAAATCGAATGAAGACATTATCAAAGAAATACTATAGCTTTAGTAATTCATTTATTTTTGAAGAAGTAAAAAAATTATTTATTTGTTTTTTGATGCTCTCTTTTGATAATTTGACGTGCATCAAATTTTGCGGGCAACGAATTTTAATAAAGTTGGCTATTTTGAGCAACTTTTTTGCTACGCTATACGCAGATATAGTTTATTTCTCGAGATATCTAGGTTTGAAGTAATTAATTCATAACATTGATTACAGTTATAACAACTACATTTACCACCTGGAGTATCTATTTGCTGTACGGGCTGGCTTTCACGTCGAAACGCCCGATATTCGAAAACTAAACTATATTAACATATAGTGAAGGTAAAAAAGTTGTTCAAAATAACTAGATATTTTTACTATTTTCGTCGTCAAACGGACATACTCGGTCATTGGAAACATATCGTATATTATATATGTTCTTGGCACAGCAAAAATCTGCATATATTTTAAGCATAATTTATAAATTAAAATATTATATAAAATATATAATATTATTGGAAATATATATATTTATTATATAATATATTTATATATTACTTAAATACTCGAATATTGTTTTATTTTATTTTTCTTCCTTCCTTTCTTGTTTCTCGTATAAAATTTCTCTTAGCTCGTATAAAATTAAAACAGACATGTATATATTATTTGTGGCAGAATACTTTTAAGAAAATTAAGGTGCAGTACATTACCAAATCGATATTATAGTCTATATAAATATAAGGTACAATTCGTGTGAGTACGCTATAGACTTAAAATTTATATTTTTTTCGTCTTGGCTTAGAATCTACCGTTGATGTAATAAAAAGAGATGAAAAATATAAGCTTTTATACAGTGGAAACTATATTTTCTCGGTATTAAGTTCCTAGATTAGGTCCTATACATAAGAAAAAGAAATATAAATGCATGCACAACAAATAATGCCTCTACAAAAGAATAGTATTGAAATTTAACAATTAAAAATAAATATAATTAATTAATACAATTATTCTGTAACTGGTTTATGATTTCGTTCGAATATAACACAACAAGTAAATTTGTTAATGAACTTTCATAGGAAATTAACAAAATTTCAAAGTGGAAACATACTAGAGGTGGAGAACTATCGATGGCACTATGATGATTTTCCACTATCGATCTGGCATCGATGACAGTGCTAGACTATCGATAGTCTACGATAGTTTGTCATAGCAACGCTTCACAAAAAAGTGAATTTTAAATTCTAATTCTAAAAACATCACGGGGATAAATATTTCCACATATCCACATATTACTTTTAAATAGTAATGATGAAATTTTTCTGTGGATCCGCTACTTCAGTCAATTTCGAGTGCAAGATCAGTAATGTTAGACAAACAGTTTTAGAGCACTGAATCTCGACTAAAAGAAAAAAACATTTATATGATGTTATTTTTAAACAAAAATCTTTGGTTACTAACATAGCAACTTTGTCGAAAAAAGGAAATGAAATTTATATTTCTTTTATTTTATTTAAGTAGAATATCTCCAAAAATTAAATGAAATGTGTTATATTAATTAAATTTTAGTTAAAATTTAAAATAAAAACATGATTTTTTGGATTGCACAGACATTTGTATTGAAATTAACATACTATCGAAAACTATCGATAGTTTAGAAAAAAACTATCGCTCACTATCGATGGTGCCGACTATCGATAGTTCTCCACCTCTAAAACATACAATATACAAATCGTCAAGTACGGCATTGGATCAGTTGACTAATATACGCTAAATCTGACCTTCAAATTTGGCACGGTACGAAGTCAACCCTATGTACTTGCAGTCTTAAAAAGTTATTTACGAATAATTAAATACAACAATTAGTTCCAAAGACCACTGATGATGGGTATTTGGCAATACTCGAAACAGCTGTATGGTCAGCCAAAAATTCAATTAATTAAACTAATATAAAAAGAATTTTTGTGATTGTAGTTTACTACTTTTCGAAAAACAAATTAAAATATTTTCGAAAAAAAAAATTTTAATTTGAAAGATTAAGAGTTAGATTTTTAATACTTATAACAATAAAAAAATTTTGTTTTTTTTTATATACTAACTATATTATTGATAATATTTTCCGAAAAAATCTACTATACTAAATATTTTTTAAGAAAGAAAAAGGCAGTTTTTATTGCAATGAAATTGAAAGATGACAAAGAATCGACAGTCATGTCGAAGAATCATGCTTATCTTATAGCTCTGAAGAATACCCAATTTTAATATGTGAGCTCAAACAAGCTATAGTAAAGCCACAAAAGATATTTAGAAATGCTAATGTGCTGGATAAATCACACTTTTAAATACCATATAACAATATTGCTCGAAAGGCATCACTAAGGTGAAACATGCAAGGTTCTACGCATTCTGATCATTACCTATTATGAAGGAGAAAAGTGAAGCACAAAATAATGAAGGCTATTATTCATGGAATAAAAACATTACTTATTCCCATAACTGAGTTCGATATAAACAGATATACTTCATCTTGGAATACCACATCATATAGGTACATACGTATAATTTTACAATAAATGCCATTAATTATGAATCAAGCTTTAGCTTAATCGTATTATTACACTAAAAAACTTGTTGCAGTTTAAAATTGTAAGCGGGTTATTCAGCTGTTTTATCACGGTTTTATTAATGGACTGAGTGTAACTATGTTTGTTGTGCTAACCGGCTATATTAACTTTTCTCAATATAAGAATAAATAATTGTTTGAATGGTTGTCACATATGGTTATAGAACAATCAAAGAAGTTTAGTAAAGCAGTCCCGTTAAATTTGAAACATAACTAAGGTAAATAATGCTTATAGTATCTTTCCACTGGCTTCGTTAGACCAGTTAACTTATTTGAGATTGCTTGAATTACTTGAAGCTTAAGTCAGTTATTTGGTCTAACTAAGCCAGTGGAAACGTACTATTACGTAAAGATGACCTAAACAAACTCACACAACGACTAGGTGCACCGTTTTGATTAAATATTTTATTTGTTTTACAGTGATTTTTGCAGGTTCGATTACCTGCGTTCGTTCGTTCGCAAACGATCACTTTAGTGTGGATGCACCTTAAGATAGTGAAGAATCAATCCAACTAAATTAGTCCGTCAGTTTAAACTACTTCTTCCATAACTGAAAGAAACTCCGCATATGAAAATCAAATGCATCTATCTAGATGAACTCTGCATATGAATGAAATTAACGAATCTATTCAGATTTATATCGAATAAAAATTGCATATCGTAACTTTTAAGAAGTTAAAAAAAATATCATAAATCTGGGGTAAATTCCTTTATAACAATGCGCATTTAACCAAAAACCATTTATCCAAAAACCGTTGCGGTAAATAATTGTAATAGTAACAATAATAACAATATAATATGTGTAAAAGATATTAAGCTTCAGCATAGTTAAGCCACTATGACCGCTCCAACTGATGTTTATCATTTAGTTTCCTTCTTTATGCGGCACTTTGAAACTCATCTTTATTGTATTGCCCAATGCAACACTGATCATTTAAGAGAGCGCTATCGTCTCTCTATCTCTTTCCAAAATATATTTCACTTCAATCATTTCTTATTTGTATATGCTATCATGCATTCGCTTATATTCGAAATAACGGCTGATATTTAGCCGCGAATGCTTGTATAGCAAAATTCTTTCTAATACCAAAAGGATATAAGGACATGAGAAGTGCACAGATGTTTTTCGTTTCGCAAACGAATTAAATGAATATTTAAATAATTGAAAAGCACTGGTGGAATTTTATTAGCATGCACATTATTAAGCGCTATTATCACTATGCATCACTGTACACAACTGAACTACATTTGTGGCACAATAAATAGAATATTTAACTAGATACAAAATGAAGTCAACTTACCGTTGTATTTTTGTTGCTCCTTAAATTAAAAAGTATTGATTTAAATTAAACAAAAAAGAAAACAGCGGAAATAAAAAACAAAGAAAACACCGTTTGCCGTTTTAAACTTACACGCCCAGTCTGCGACGAAATTATTAAATTTCAGTAATTTTTAAGCAATATAATTTATATTATTTATAATTACAGACGTTGTTATGAAAGCTTAGTTGTAAAACGTAACTAATAAAACTTCCTGTTTTTCTTTTAGTCCTCGCGACGCACAATGTAATTCGATTTTTCACAAAAAGTAAAAGCGCAAGCAAAGGAAGTTATGGAAAAGAAACAAAACAAAACCACCTAAATATTAAATAAATAAGTAATAAGAACTTGTTTACGAAATGATATATAATTTGTACTGGTGTGAATAGTTATATATGTATTATTTTATATTCTATATAAAATATTTTATTTAACAATTTTCACAATATATGGAACGAAATAACAACGTCCATGTTTGATAAAAGACAAAACAGAAATGAAAACTATCCGAGAGCAGTTAAAGCAGGAAAAAAGAGGGAGAACGAAATTTATTTTATACCAAAGATAAATGACTGAGTTGCCGATATAAATAAAATAATAATTCTTATACGAATTTATGAAAGCATAAATTGTTCTATATATACGCATGTATGATCTTTATAGATTGATTATTTAAATCAATCTAGAGTACCCTAAACGAGATTACTACGGCGTCCCTTATCTACTTAGCGATACCCATACAAAAAACCTAAAAATATTAGTAATAATAGTAAAATGATGGTAAAAAAAAACAATAGTAATAATTGCTGATAAGAACAGATACTACACTGATCTTAGCCATGAAATTATAAAATAAAACGTAATCATAAACGTTATCTTTTATCAACGGCGTAGGTTATTGCGTACTGCTCAATATGATCTAATGTAACTTGTAACTTAGTACTTTATTATATATAAATTGTAAAAAAAAGTACATTATTGAATGAGCTTCATAGTTTCAGTGCTCTTAGAAATAAAAATACTTAATGAAAAATAATTTTTTGACTTGGACCACACTAGACAAAACTCTATTAATCTCAAATTTACTCTCGATTTATAGATTTTGTGAGGTAAATAAAAATTTTGTATTCGTTACTGTATTAACGAGTAATCGGTATTAAGACTCAATTTAAAGAGCATGTATTATAGGGAGGAATAGACATAACCTACAAATATTTATTTAATATTTATAAATACATATGATATTTATAGTTACAGTTTTATAGTGTACAGTTTAAAAAGTTTTATTAATAGTTATTTAATTAATCAAATTCTCAAATAATAAATATACATATAAATTACGAATTAAAATTATATTTACGCTTGACAAATCATTTGGTATAAAATTTTAAATAAATTTTAGCAAAAGTATCTCAAAAATTGAACATACCTCAAAGCAAAGGCACAGTTTATAAATTTATATAAACAGTGGGAAAAATTAAATTTTTTTATTATAAAATATGTAACAAATAAAAATTTTAAAAAGTCTGAGATTTCTACAATGATACGAAATATAAAAACATTAAATATAAAATATTAATAATATTATAAAATTAATAAATTTTATAATTTGTTGATAATTGTAGTGACATAGGTCGTGTGCGAGTTAGGCTAAGTTGCGTTCTAAATGAGGGAAATTCTAAGTTGTGCCGATAATGTCGTGATGTGTCGATACGTGTTGATAAATGGCTAAATGTGTGCAGTGCAAAAAATCCCAAGAAAAGTCCCATTTGGTTTAGCATCAACTTAGCCTAACTCGCACACGTCCATAATGAGATTTCACCTTAGTTTAAGATTACAAATAAACTAATTTATGGATATGAAATAAAAGGTCTTTATTATGAGCTATTACTTATTTATGTTGTTGCAACCGAATCATAATATATTCAAACCTACTTTTTTGCGATAATAGTAATATTTCTATTATTTTTCATGATAATATAAAAATATGTTTCCAGAACATAAAGTGGCTTGTACCTCTTGCTTGTGCAAAGGAATCAAATTTTTTGGACACAATCTTGTTTTGATTGCGGACGGATTAAGATTTGTAAACAGTTCGAATAAAAACAGTCATAATCAATAATATTAGTTAAATCCAATGGAATAGTTTTGAGTAGCTGCTTAGTGGAAAGAGCTTCGCTTTTTATCTTCAAGATATTTTACTAAATTTAAAAAATCTTTTAAAATTTTTTGATGGGATCTCCTTTAATGGGGATTTGTTTTAGATTAAATTCTTTAATTCACAGTACCAATGTGTTTTCTATTATATAAATTAAAATATTTGTCTAATATTATACCTGTTTTAATAATATCTTTTGTGGTATATTTGTTGGACTTATTTATATATTCCTAAAGCAGATTTTTCAATTCCTCTGATAGTTCATTCATCTAACTCAAATTCTTCACTGTGAATACCTTTCCGTCTACTAGATGACAGTGTGAGAAACAGTAGGGTTTCTAAAGAATATTGTTTCCTATTTTCTTTGGCTTGAATACGTATCACTTTTGTCATCTTCGATTGTAAACTTTACTCTCATTTGTTAAAGCTTAACTGCAAATTATTTATTAGCAATTAATTAGTTTAGTTAAATTTTATTACAGTATATATACCTAACATTTCCAGCTACAAAAATCCTGATGTTATATATCTAGAAATAATCAAAAATAAATTTTTTTAAGGTAAATTTTTTCTTGCCGATAATGGCGTGTCTTTTTATGACGAAAGAAACTATTTAAAAGTTAGACCGATTCGAATTTTTTTAATTAAATTATGGTATAACTTATTTATTTCTTAACTTATTAATTTGATTTAAAAAATATCTTTATCTTAAACAATTGTTCATTCAAAGATCAAAAATTAATTCAATTTTTTATGAAATTTTTATAAAATTTCTTGAAAAAAATTAGAATACAATTTCTGTATTTATTTTAACTGCATATTTAATGTTTTATATTTAAAAAATTAAATTTAGCTACAAAGAATTTGGACGCGACAATATCGGTTTTATTATATTTTATACTTACGTTTTCATCATACATTTTCTACACAATTGCACCCGCGTTGCCAACTACTTGTAAAAGAAAATATGTATGTTATTAATATATTAAATTCTTTTTCAATTATAAGGTAAAAAATTTATAATAATAAAAATTTTATTTGCTATAACTTATTAATAACGTTAACCAAATTTTATTTTATTTTTATTATTGTTTATATACAACTCTATGTATTTTATGACAAAAGGTAATGCTGTGTAGACGCCATATTTTTTCTTCTGCTTCGGCACGAACTATTTAAGCAAGGAATTAAGTGTTTTTAATATAAATGCAAAAACAAATATAAATATTTAATTTAATATATATACATATATATATATACGAACTGCAATAAAGACAATAAAAAGCGCAAATGAAACTAAATATTTCTTTAGATTATTATAAAACAACGGAACGTGAAGTGCAAGACGACCAAATAGACACAATCACAAAAGGCAAAAAATAAAGCCCATATAACGTTACCACAAAAAACATACATATATGTATAAAAACTCATTGCTTGACACAATAACATTAGAAAAGAAAAAAAATACTAAAAATCTTATTAATATAATATAAATTTTAAAGTTTGTCCAGAACGAGTTGCAACGTCCACAAATTGCTGAACGAACTGACGGGATCCGGGAAAATTATAACAAAAAAAAAAGAAATTAAAAATTATAAAAGCAACGCCGCCCTGTCGTCCACCAAAAGACTCCGTAACAGAGTCACCTTTTCTTGCCGTTTGTGTTCAGGGTTATATTGGTTATATATGTGCATAATATATATGAATAATATAGCCCTTTTATATACGAAAATAGGTAAGGCACGCCTACTTTTACTATTGTGAAATAACGAGCAATGGAACCCAAAAAATTGTGTTAAAAACAAAGTTCGTGAAGTTGCGATCCGATCGTAAAAAATACTCAGAAAAAACTTAATGACGCATTGTTATTGTAACATGTATTTACTTTTGAAGATAAAATTTTTGCGAAAACATTGCCACTTATTTCATTTCTTTATAATTTGCACAAACTATTTTGTTGTTTTTTTTCCTTTATTGCCAATTTTTTAATTAGAAAGTTTTCTTTAGTTATTTTCGCTGAAATTGAAAAAAAATTGCACAGTCACTTTTCTGTTTTTGATCAAATTTATGAAGAGTATCAGCAACAGTCAACAAGAGAGAGTAATAGCAACGAATGATTTACAACAAAAGCAATATATAAGTCCTTGTCTGAAGCGCTCTCAGAGGGCAGCCAATGCATGTTTTGTTCGAAGAAAAAAATTTGAGCAAGCACAAATAAAAAAGAAATATGCCAATTCTGGCAGTGAGAATTGCAAATATTTTGCCAATTTGTTGTTATTGTTGATCCAAATTGCTAGAAGCAAAATTTTACTACACGTATGTGTAGAGAGTATGTAAAACATAATGTGCTATAAACATAACTTGTGTGTTTAATATAATTGGAGCTTTCTTAAATAAATGACGAAGGCATGGATGACTCTTAAAGTTATAAATTTTTTTAAATAAATATGGTTTTTAAAAGATTATTTCATATATTATGTAATTAAAGTAGCGAAGTGAAAGGCAGAATTAAATTTCCTAACAAAGCTGTGTTTATTTTAATCAAATATTTAAATATTTTTTAGAAGTTTTGATGTAATATGCATAATATACTATATGGATATTATAATATTATATACTATGTAATACAATGATGTCTACTTATAATGTATATTGTATTGCATAGTAATATACTACTTATAATGTGTATTGGTTATTATCAATGGCCATCACAGCTATTGCTTCATCCTCCATATTCGTTACCACTATATTCAAACCGTTTTAACTTTATATTTATCCTTAAGTCATATAATCCTATAACAAATTTTTAGAAATGATTGCTGTTTTATGGCGTTTTCGATCGGTACAGCTGGATTTACTTTCGATCTGTCAAATTTTGTTGACCAATCGAATATTGTTAGAGTAATCTAACATTTTTGTAGTTTTGTCAGTGGGCATTTATAGTTTTCATTATTATTAAATGAACAAAAAAAAAACGATTTAATTTTGAAATAAAAAATAAATTAAATCGTTTTTATTATGCATTTAATAAACATTTGTAACATTTTTTCGGTTTGCAAATACAATGTTGACAAAGTGTATGTCGAATGAAATCACACTTTTACTGCCAAGTCATATAAAACAGCTGCTAATTTCAGGGTAATCTTACTACTCGCACAAAATATCTAGAGTGTTATAAATTGATCTCAAGTGTTATACATTTTGCTCGAAATTTACCAATCGAAAATGAAAATTACACTAAAAGTGAATCTCGATCTCGAAAACGGTATTAGAGTATATATCAAAAGAATAACAAAATACAATATATATAAAATGTACATAGAAATGTAAATAGAAATCTATGCAGTGATATGACTACAAAATATATTTGTTAATATACTTATATTTATATACAATATCAATGTTTCCTATAACGAACCTTTTTATAATTTTTATTTATAGACTATAAAACTATAAAAGTATAAAAGTCTTAGTTAAAAACTCAGCACTTTCATATGCTATTTAGATACGTCATAAAAAGTGTCAATTTTGGTATTAAAGTATGGGAATCGTGGTCACGGGCACTTCAAAATTGGCTCTTCCGGGCTATGGCGGAAATTGATGTTATGTATAGTGTCACATTAGTTTGTCAATTTCGAATTTTCACTATTACCTTTGTACTTTCTGGTTGTGTCTAAATTTTAGAGGAAATATATACATATAACACATAGATGACAGCCTCGGCTCTCATGACCGAATTTAAACCAACATTTCCTTTTTTTTCTCATTCTCAATTTTTAAGTTAGCATCGAAAACAACAACAATTTTGTATTTGACGTGACCGTGACACTCTACACAACATGGTCCTCAGACATCAGCGTCTCTGGCAATAACGAATCAATGTTCAAAAATTGGGCGTTATAAAAAATGTTTGCTTTAAAAGATCCAAATTACACATTTTACTATGAATAATTGGACAAAATTTTCCTCTTAAGTATAACGCTACAATTTAATCAGTTTCTTAAGTTTACTTACCATTGGGCTGTATGTATGTTAACAGACTTCTTCTAATTTGAAATATGTAAAATGTTCTTTCAATATGAGAGAAAGTATATTTCTATTTTCTATTTATTTTTTTGGTATAAATAATACTCTCTAGGTGTACAAAGTGTTCATATAAAATCGTTACGCTATAGACATCGGGAATTATTTCTTATTTATGTACACATCTCACTTCTTACATCTCATTTACACAATATGGCATATATTTTAAATAGAATTGTGTTTTAATTGTTAGGTCAATATGAAATTGTTTTTACATTTAGTACACATTTGTTTAATCATAGTTATCATAGTCATTAACTTACATTGAAACAGAACCGTGCAAGAAAAAATTCAATTTTAAAAGCTGTTTCGGTTTCTTGTCTAAAGAATAGATTTTGCCGTGGTCTTGGCACCTAACGATATTACAGACCGTATCCTTCTTGTATTCGATCAACTAATTAACTAATTAACTTAAATTTATCTTATGATTTATTTTCCTAAAAAATTTTTCCTTATGCACTTGGAAAAACTTACATATGATTAGTAATTCCGATTGCTAAAATTCGAGGTCATTGGCGTTTCACACATATATTTCTCGTCTATTTGGCACCTTATCATATGTTATGTCCAAGTGCCAAACCTACAACAATAATAGTTCTGTTGTCCTACTATTGCTAGTAAATATTTTATGTGGTGCTCGTACAGAGAAGCCGCCAATTCATTGCATCAAATATTTGATCAAGTTAACCTATGAGCCGAACAACAACAACAATAACAATAACAAAAAAAAAAAAAGGAAAACAAGCAATACATAAATCGATGCTCTCTCGATTGTCTAGACGAAGAAATTTTTCTTTTTAACTGTCTGTCTGCTTTTTATATTTATTTATAATGTTTGTGTTTTTTATTTTTTGCATTTTATTGTTTTATTTTATTTTAATTCATTTTTTAAATTTATTTACTAATTTTTCGCACATCTCTGATTCAGTTTCTTGCATACTCGTAGATTGTTTGAAAGTGATATTTGTATATTAAAGGGTAATTTTCTTATAAATAATATATAAAATTGCTTTTCTAATATAAATTTATAATCAGTATATTCAGTGCTGTGTATTATTTTATAATATACATTCATATTTATATAGTTAAATATTTGAAATTTAAAAAATTTTTCTGACTTTTATTTATATGGTTTTAAAAACTTTTGTAGGGTTTTCTTCACAGTTTTCACGAAGTTGTGTATAAGAGGTTTTATACAGTTATGTGCACTTTTAGATTTAGATTTAAAATTTTGTTGGTACTTTAGTATTATGATATCAAATAAATTATAATCTTGTAATAAAATCGTATTTATCTTATTTGCTAATGTTTCACTTACTTTGTCACGAGTTATTATTGTATTTATTAATATTATTATTATGCAGATAATACCATGCAGCTGACTCAGATGGTGTACTTCGCTTACTTTCATTGACCCAAACGATCCTTATACTTTCTATGGATATGAGGAACTTGGATGGTTTTGTTTTGATTTTTATGTTATGAGAATAATAATGAAATCCTGTGTGTTTGTTCCTTCCATTTAGACTCTTTCTTGTGTTTCATGTTATGTGAGATTTCTTCGATCCTTTAAAATATCATTTCATCTTTTCAAATTTTTTTTTTTTGTTTTTTCAAAGTAAAAAAGATTTCACCTGTTTGTTGTTCTTGTATGTTTGTTGCTTCTTAAGACCCTTCACCAATTAGTATTAGTAGGAATTAGTATTCACGATTGATTAAATATGAAATTTATATATTTTTTAAGTTAAATTAAAATTAAATTAATTTATAATTTAAATTAAATAAATAAATTAATTAATTTAAATATATGTATTTAATTTTTTGTGATTTGTCTTAAGATCTTTCAAACATGATACTAGTATTCGTTTATGTACTTTTTTAGAAATATAAGAGAAACGTAATTAATTCAAAACTCTATGCAACCATTCCTTCATATTTATTATTCGTACATCCTTAATGTAGACCCCCAATCTGCAATTTAATTGATAATCAAAATTAACTCAATTGAATTAATTACTAGAACGTTGTAAATAGCAAAATATTGATAAAGTGTAAATTAAAAGTTTTTACAGTGATAAAAAAATATTAGGAATATTTTTCTTCTTTGCAAACGCGCTTATTGATATATTTTCTAATACAAAAGAAAAATTTTTTTTGAAAATGCTTATAAGTTTGTATCATTGCTTATTTCTTATTAGTTTATAAAAATATAGATTAATTTAAAATATTAACTCTTTGATCCTTTTTTTTATTTCAGATTAAAAGCGATTATTTCATATAATACACTCAATAACAACAATAATAAGAATTTTATATATTTTTATTTGTGACACGTTAAATAAAAGCCTTCACCACGAATATCCTGTCATTTGCAAATCCGAGGAGATCAACTGTTGTCGCAAATAGCGGTGCGAAAACAACCGCAACCGCTGCTGCTTCAGGATCTACCTCATCGGGACTGTTGGGCTCCAGTTTCGTAGCATCATTCACAAGCCCTTTTACTAACAATAGCAATAGTAGTAATTCTACAACTGATTCAAATATATCCATTGCGCAGTCTTCATTTAACAGTAGCAGTAGCAGTAATAATTCGATAAGTATGTCGACTGGTAGTGCAGCAACAGCTGCTGGTTTATCAACCCTTGGCACATCTCCCACATATGAGACTTTTGGTACTGGACATTCGTGTATCGTTAAAGAAGGTTGGTTGCAGAAACGTGGTGAACATATAAAAACTTGGCGTTCCCGTTATTTTATTTTACGCGATGATGGAACATTGATGGGATATCGAAATAAACCCGTAAATAATGCACCATCAGAACAATTGAATAATTTCACAGTGAGAGGGTGCCAAATAATGACTGTCGACAGACCGAAACCTTTCACCTTCATAATACGTGGCTTGCAGTGGACTACAGTAATAGAGCGCACATTTTGTGTCGAAACGGAAGAGGAGCGTCAACAGTGGACAGATGCTATAAGAACAGTAGCGAGTCGTTTAAGTGAAATGGGTGAAACAGCAATGTCACCATCAGAAAATACAGATATGGCAGATGTTGATATGGCTTCAATAGCAGAAGTTGAACTCTCCGAAAAGTTTTCTGTGCAGGGCACATCAACACGTAATAGTGGAGGTGTCAAAAAAGTGGTACGTACATATTTAATATATTTATTAAATTTGATTTAAAACATATTTTTATTGTTGTAGACACTGGAAAATTTTGAGTTCTTAAAAGTTTTGGGTAAGGGTACATTTGGTAAAGTTATTCTATGTCGCGAGAAATCTACAGCCAAACTATATGCAATTAAAATTCTTAAAAAAGAAGTTATCATACAAAAAGATGAAGTTGCACACACATTAACTGAAAGTCGTGTACTTCAAACGACAAATCATCCGTTTTTAATTGTAAGAAATTTTTATTGCTGCTTTATTAAGCAGTTTTTTTATATTAACGTATCTTTTTATATTTTTGTTCTTATAGTCACTAAAATATTCATTTCAAACAAACGACCGTCTCTGTTTCGTCATGCAATATGTGAATGGTGGAGAACTATTTTTTCATTTAAGTCGTGAACGTTTCTTTACCGAAGATCGTACACGTTTCTATGGTGCCGAAATAATATCCGCATTAGGCTATTTACATTCGCAAGGCATAATATATCGTGATTTAAAACTTGAAAATCTTTTGCTGGATAAAGACGGTCACATAAAAATAGCTGATTTTGGTCTTTGCAAAGAAGATATAACATATGGAAGAACCACAAAAACTTTTTGCGGAACACCCGAATATCTAGCGCCTGAAGTATTAGAGGACAATGATTATGGTCATGCTGTAGATTGGTGGGGCACGGGTGTTGTCATGTACGAAATGGTATGCATAAAAATTTTATATGTAATTCAAACATTAAAAAAAAATTAATAATTTATTATTTTAATTTTCATAGATTTGTGGACGTCTTCCATTTTATAATCGCGATCATGATATACTATTTACACTGATATTAGTGGAAGAAGTAAAGTTCCCACGAACAATATCTGAAGAAGCAAAAAGTCTTTTAGCTGGTCTATTGGCTAAGGATCCTAAAAAGCGTTTAGGTGGTGGTCAAGACGATGTGAAAGAAATACAAGGACACCCCTTCTTTGCGAGTATTAATTGGACAGATTTAGTACACAAAAAGGTTTAGCTTATAACTCTAAAAAAATATATATTAAATAAAATTATGTAAAAAAATTTTTAAAATAGATAACACCGCCTTTCAAACCACTAGTAACATCCGATACAGATACGCGTTACTTTGATAAAGAGTTTACTGGCGAAAGCGTTGAACTTACACCGCCTGATCCTACCGGTCAACTTGCTTCAATAGCTGAAGAACCACTTTTCCCGCAAGTACGTATACTGATATAATTTTAATATTTGTGATTAAATATAAATATATATAGTATAAATATTATAGATATATTAAATATAAGTGTTTTACACTATTTAAAAAGTGCGATAGAATACACAACCTTTTATACATACAAATTTACACAATACATTTTAATTTTCTAATCAGGGAAAATAAATCACAAATAATTGTTATTTTTGAGTTATAAATATAAAAGCCATGAATAACTCGTACTGGCCTCCCGAATATTTTTAAAACGAAAAATATAAAATGCATTTTTCATGTAAGGTAGTTATTTTTGTAATTTCATATAAAATATATTAAAGAGTTGATTGATAAATTGATTTTACCTCCCTAACAATTGATTGAAAATCTGTACGTTTATGTTCTAAAATTATGCAAGTGACTAATTCTGTTCAGAGTTGCCAGTATTTCTTTAAATGAAATAGCCAATATACATTGTTTTTGTAGCTGGAAGTGTTAAGTCGTTAAGAGTCGTGTAGCTCAATAGCACATAGTAAATTTCTTGAATGTTATGTGTACAAGTTTTTCATTTACCATTAAGTATAATAAATTTTGTCAATTTTAAAATTAAAATAAAACTATATTGAAAGTAAACTATATTGAAAAATTCACACAAAACCCCAAAAACAAAAAAAGAAAATAAAATTTAGTTGTATAAATCACACTGCTTTTAGACAAATAAACACATACTTTTTTTAAATGGAAACCTACCGGTTAATCGGCAATTAAACCTACGTCCTAAGTTTCAGTGTACCCAAATGCAAAAGTCAGTCTATTGTGATTGTTCACAGGAAATATGTTGCGAAATTCCAGTCAAACGTTAAAATCATATAAGCATTTCATTTACTAATAATTTCAAATATATAAATAAATAAATTTATTTCAATATATAAGATAAAAATTGTTACCATTGCCCTTCTAATATTCATTTTTAATATTTTCTTTTATTTAAATTAATCAACTTAAATAAGTATTTTAAATTTTATACAATACAACAAAAAACATATGTCAAAAATAAGCATTTAACGAAATTAATATTTAAAATTGATGCCAATTCTACAAAAAACTCACGAAACTCAAGATTCTTGAATGATACCTACAGTGGTTCTTATACATATTTATGGTAAAAAGCAAAATATAATATACTGGAGTAGATCAAGAACTAAGTGGATTTGTAAATTTTTATTTTTGCTTTTTCAAATCTATAAATGTTAACGTCGAATACACAAGAAATATTTTTTTAGCATAATTGATAATTTTGCAAAGCCCATAACTTTTTGTTTAAATATTTAAAGAAAAACCCACATTCTATTTTGGAAACCTGACATTAATTGCTTTACTTTTTAAGTTATTTTTAAACTATCTATGTTATTTTAAGCTAATTAATTTCTTTCTTCATTTTAAAAACTACAGTTCAGTTATCAGGATATGGCATCTACACTGGGTACCTCGTCGCACATTAGCAGTTCGGCTGGACTTACATCGATGCAATAGAAAATAGTTCAAGGCACGAGACGAAAACGATAACAATGTCTTTATCATAAATACTAACGTTAAACGAGTTGGTGAAATAACCTATAAAATAAAGAAAGCAAGAAAAAACTATATTAGGCATAGGAGTAGGGAGATTGCGACGCCTTTATATAAAGGTTGCATGACTATAAATACAACTCTTAACTACATCCACAACTACATACAAGTAACTTATTATTTTTTACATTTTAAATAACATAAACACAAAACATACATAATTAAAATATTTCAGAAGAATGAGAAAAATTTATAAAAAAATAAAACATAATTAATTAATAATAATAAATCGGTTAAAAGCTAATAGTTATAACGAGTAATGTAAAATTAGTGATTACTTTCATATTTTTTACTTAAATTTTATTTAATTTCTTGTTTTGTGAAGTGTAATGATTTCAATATAAAAAAATAGAAAAACATATTAAGTAAATCCTTGCTGCAAAAAAGAAAACAAAAATAATAATAAATTTTATAAAAAAGAAATAATTCGAATTATTTTATACTCCAAAGAAAAAATTAAAAAATATTAAAATTATCGATCATAAAAAAAATTTAAAAGATGCCTATAGTGTGCTGTGCTTTTCGCAAAAAAAAATAAAAAAATAAATAATTTTAATAATTTAAATAACTAATAAATCAATAATATATATAATAAATATGAATATTTAAGTATAAAATAAAAATATAATTAACTACATTAAAATTGATATAAAAGCAAAAACAAATAACTTTTTGAAATATATTTTCAATTAAATATTTTTTAAGTTTTTATGAAATATTTCATTTAGCTAACAGCAATTTAAAAATATCGTTTTTAATATGTATTATTGTGTTACTTTAATTGTTTGCCACAAAAACAGTTTTAAACAATTTGCATGAAGTTTACAGACAGTTAAAAACGTATATAAAATTTTAAAAATTTATTTCATTTAAATGTTTATTCGTTATTTTACAAACTGTTCTATACTATATATTTTATTTTCGAATTTTTTAAATGGAAATTACATATTTTATATATATATTAAGATATATTTACAAAAATATAATATACTTCTTGTGTATATATTTCAATGGAAAAGAAAAATTGAAAACAATGAAAATTAAAACAAAACAAATATATAAATATATATTTTAATTGTAAGATTAAAACATTTCGCATATTAAACAGACTTGATACAGTTCCAGACACTTAAAAATAGTTTACGAGCAAATTCGAAAGTAAATTTAAAATGAAACCACTTTTGATAATTTTTTATACATGCAAATTAAAATTGATAATAATTATATAAATAAAACATATTAAAATATATTAAAAAAAAATTAAATATATATATGTATATATATGTATATGTATATATATACGGGCATTTTTAGCAATTATTATTTAAATATGTAAAATTTTTTAATTTTTTTTTATTTTTGTTTTTGCTTTCATACTGAAGCAAACAATATTCGTAATTATGCGTAGAGAAGGAAATATATGTATAAAAAAAAAATAACAGAGATAATGGAGTAGATTGTTATGGTCTCAAGAAATCGGTATTCATTTAATAAAATAGTTAACAATGCAATATTTATTTTATATTTAAAATTGTATTTATTTTTATTTCTTATACCATTTGCTTATAAGAAACTATTTTACATTTTACTACTTCTGCTTAAGTCGATCAGTCGATCAGTTGATCAGTCGATTTATGCCTGGTTTACAATAACGACGAAATTGCAAAATAGGAAGAATTTACTGATATGAAATGTAAAAAATGATTTATAAGCAAATAATAAAAGAAATAAAAGTATATATAATTAAATAAAATATAGACGAAGAAACAAAAGGTAACAATGTATTAAAAAAACATTCAAGTAATTCAGTTTCTGAGCATTGTTGAACATTGGAACTTAAAACATAAATAAATAAGAGAGCTTAGTTAAAGATATTAAGAGAAGAGTAGTAATAATAAAAAGAAAAAAAATTAAGTAAAAACTAAAGTACCAATGTAAAAACAGAATAGAAATAAAGGAAAAACAGGAAAATGTAAAGAGTAAACAAGAAACAAAGAGTAGAGTAAACAAGATAAAATTAGAAAAGAATTTTTTAAAAATCGAATCCCATTTATGTGCCCTTATAAATAGTCTTCAATTTACAAAATATATGGAAGTAATGTAATCTGGAACGTTAAAGTCAAATTCCTTTCGTCTACAAGTTTTTTCATTCTTCTCATAAAAAAAAGAAATAAATAAATAAACTCAAAATAAAGATAATTTGGAAACAAAAAGAAAACGTTCGAAAAACCTATTCAGTCCTAAAAACAAATAAATTTTAACAGTAATAAATATAGCACAAATGTGAAGAAATTATAATGGATAAGTGGTAGAATATATAGATTAAAACAAGAAGCATTTTAATAAAGAACCATGATTTCTAAATGATATAATGTATACAAACGCAATTACAATATAAACATGGATATAATATTATAAAGGGCAACGTAAATAAATTTTTAGAAAAAATATACTAAACTGAACCTAAAAATATATTAAGTATTTAAAAACTTGAAAGAAAACCCCACTTATTCTCCACATTTTCCTCCTTTTTAAAACTAATATAATAGACTTTTTTCTTACTTTTTTGATTTATTTGAATTGACCTTGTTCTGAGAATTGATTTGAATTAACATATATAGCTTCAGAGATTTTATTCCTTTTTTTTAAATAAACTATATAATGATCGAAATACAGAAAGTGTAAAGGAATAAGAAAAATATCTAAAACTACAAAATTCATAATAAGAGAAAAAAAGTTATACAAATAATAAAAAATATAGAATATTGGTGGTCAAGAAATGGTTAAGAAATAAAAATGAAAGACAGATAAGGAAAGTAAGAGCTGGTTAAATGGTTCCTTTTATGTGTATCATGTTTTCGAAACTTTCCATTCCCCTAAATTTGCTTGTAATTGAGATTATTTTATGAGTTTTTGAAGTTTTTAATGTTTCGCTATTTTCTTAAAATTTTTACTCGCCACAGTTTCGAAATACTTCTATTAACTTCACCGAGATTTGAAAAATTTCTCAAGTTAGTGATAAAAAATAAAACGTATATTATTTGAACTGAGCTCTCTATATTTTTGTTGGCAATTTGTAGAAAGCGTGATGATATACATTAATAGAACAATTTTGGAATCTGTTATAGATTGTTTTGATTGTTTTGAAAGCAAAAATCTAAAATAATTAAGTTTGACATTGCAAATATTTCCATTAGAAAATATATTTACTTACTTCTAGATATTCTAATGTTTCAATAAAATGCAATTTAAAAAAAATACTCATAATATTAAGTTGTATTTCGACATAACCAAATAACTAAACTAATTAGCCAATATAAATGCAATCGAACTAAGGGTTAGATACTAAAACCAGAGATCACAGATTCAAACCTTATTTCAGTGTAGTTTTTTTTGTACTGTTTTTTGTACTGAAATTTAATAAATTTATTTCTTCTCATTATTCTCTTCGTTCTCTTATTATAATTACAAAAAATTATTCAAACGAAGGCAATTCAGTTGTGAGCTGTAAGCATTGAAATCTAAAAGTTCAACTTTTGAAATCCCAAATCTGATAAAAATTATTAATTTTCAAAAATTATGTTTAAACAGTGAAAGAAGTAAAAATTAAATAAAGAAATAAATTAAATAAAACATTGATTTAAAAAAGAGATAAAGAGAATAAAAAATATGAGTTCAAATAAGAACAAAATAAATTTCTCTAACGCATAATTACGGACTTTGCATGCTTCCAGTTAAAATTAAAAAAAAAAATCTAATAAAAAATAAATATTTCATAAAAAACTATTAGAAATGTAAAAGCCTAACTAACTACACCATAGTATACAAGTAGCTAATACAGTTCGATAGCTGGCAAAACAAAAAGAATAATTTATATATGTATATATATATGTACATATATATATATATAAATGATGTAATTAATAAAATAAAACCTACTGCATTTCTCATTGTGTTCTGTAGAGCTCTTCAGAAATTGAAGTGTCTTGCCTTGTCAAACAGTATGCGTTAATTTATAGATGCAATTTATTAACTGATTTTTTTAGATAAGTCCAGCAAAGCTATTGTAGGTGTTTACAATGTATTCTATGGTTCACTAGAACAAATTTAAAGCAATTCAAGGTTTTAATAAATAAATAAAATATGCCGTTTAAACAGTAAAATAAAGGAGAGTACATTAATAATTAATAAATGTAATTTATATAAATATGTTTCATATATTTTTTTTATTTATATAAAGAACATTTTGTACATCAGTTCGTTTTAAAAGGGATATATTTTTATATATATTTTAGAAAATCCTCTATTTTACAACAAAAGCAACGAAAAGTAAATAAATTAATTCTGTTATATTAACAAAATGCACTATTTTACTTATAGAACAAAATATTTAATATTAGAAAAGTTATTGCTCCCGAAACTCCTAGACTAATTTTTAACATTTAATTATACTGTGCAAAATGATTTGTAAGAACATAAAACACGTGACAGATATAAAGAGCAATGAAGCAAAATTTTTAGTTGTAATTATATCATTATGAACTATGTATTTCCAGTCATGATAGGTCTTGTTTCTAGTAAAAAATAACTCAATTAATTTGAATCTGCAGTTCCGTGTTCTGTAGTCGCGAATCTTGCTAACAGTTAAAAATATACAAATGCCAATAAAAAATTGAAATACAACAATTCGAATTTAAAATTTAAGTTTGTTTTTAAAATAGTATAAAATGTAATTAATTTTAACATAATAATTATTTTTCGTTGATTTTGTGGTAAGAAGACAGACAGCTAACAAAAAAAAAATAAGCAATTTAAACAAAAAAGATTGATTACATTAAACACTCTATCCTCGCCCTTGTAACCCATACATACCATAAAAAAATAATTTTTATTTTTAACATAACAAAAACAATGCCTTGAAAGTGCTAAAAAACATATATAAGCAGTTATATTAAATTTTTTGTTAGCCGAAATTGTAATTGTGGGGTGTAAAAAGCGTGATAATTCACCCGGTAATTAATTTTACTCCATAACATTTTAAATAATAATTATAATAGTAATAATAATTGTAGTTTTTATTTTCTAAATATTGTTTTATTTGTGGCAGTTTGAGCGCGTAAAAATACTATTTTTATATATAGTTTTTGTATAAAAAATATTAAAAAATCTTTAAAAAAAAAATATATATATATATGTAAACAAATTCTACCTACTACCTTTTTAGCGATTTAGTTATTAAAGTTTTATTTTTTTAACTATAATGGCAAAATAATTTAAAAAAATAAAAACAATTAAACGAAAATAATATTCGATTAAAAATATTCACGAAAATTAACTGTTTATATATTGAAACGATAAAAAAAATTCATATAAAATAAACAGATATATATATTATATATAGATAATAAATTGTCTATATATTAACTTATACATATTATATACTTTATATACTAAGAATATATAATAAAGATTTAATAAAAACGATTTTTCAAAAATGTAAAAGTTTGTCTTTTATATTTTATTTAAATATTTTTATTGTAAGAAAGGTATGCGGTAAAAAAAAGTATAGGTTTAGAAGATTTGTGACTGCCTTACTTTATGCACAAGCTGAAGACAATTATGTGATAAAAAATTGATCTTTATGTCTTGTGGTAACCATAACCACATAAAAAAGTGGTAACCACATAAAAAGTTTTACAAGTTGAATACATCGGTTAGAATGTGTAAGGGTAATGGTTGGTGCTAAATAAAATGTGAATAAGGGAGAAGGGGTGGATAGGGAATAAATCGGATTTAAATCAGACGGAGAAATCTGGCCAGTTGAATGGGGTGGGTCGAAGAGTTGATTGGACGGAGGTTTATGTATGCAATGGGGCATGCGAACAGATGAGCGACGCTATTATGGTAAAGTTGCAGTTTAGGCACACATTTAGGATAGACGTGTTCCTGCATGACAAGTAACTGTTAAGCACTCGGCTATATTCTGATCTTGATGAGTTCTTTTTGTATGGGGGAGATGTTCTTTCTGAGAGATGTTAGGTGGAAGCCTGTTGAGAACCTTGGTTTTGAAGTGGAGACTGCATCTGTGCGGAGGGCTATAAGTCCATGTTTCTGAGTGTTTTATTGTATTTAGCCCTGTTTAACCCTAATCGTTCCGGTTCAATGAAAAAAAAATATACAAATATGTTATATATTTATTATTTCAGGTTGGGTTTTCATTTCGTACAGGTTTTTTTCGGTTCAGTTCTGAGTGAATATATTTTATGTATTTGTGACAAATGATTTTTTCTCATGATTAAATGATTATGTAATAAAAAAATAACTCCTACTTTTATAAATAAAGATTAATTTTGAAATTTTAATTTTCGCGTTCGGTGATGGACCGAAATAAACCGATATATTGTTTTCAGTTCGATTCCGGTTTTCTCTACGTCAAACATTTCGATTCCGGATCCAAGTAGTAGTATTCGGACGCTTAAGAAAAAAAATGGATTAAAGATACAGTGTTATTGTGTATAATTTTATTTAGTAGCTTAAGACAGTTATAAGTTAAAAAATGGAAATCTAGGCTGTGTTTTATGTAAAATTAGTAATTTTAGAAGGAAAGCATGTTTTTTGTTTTAACTCGTAAACTTCGTGCTTTAAGCAATTCTTTCATTTTATTCTTATAGTCCGACAGTTATTGTCTTTCCTCGTAGAATTGAAAAACTTAAAAATTTTATACGTTGAATTTGAAAAAATAAATAACTATATTTTAATTTATTATGTTTTATTATAAGAAATAAATATTTTTCTCTCACAGGTTAAAAATTATTTTAGGATCACCAAATAATTGTTTTTATTTAAATTGAGTACTTTATTGTAACAACATTCCCTTAGCAACTTCACGAGCTTTATCAGCTCCAGCAAGTGCTTCAGCTATTTTTAATGCAAAATCAAAGGCAGTACCCGGTCCACGACTTGTTATCAAATTACCATCCTGTACGACGTTCTTATCTTCAACATACCTTAAAAAATACAATTAAATATATAAAAAATTGTATTAAGTTTTAATATATACTACGTACTTATATTGTGATTCTAATTGTGACTTAACAGATGGATAAGAAGTAAGTGACTTGCCAACGCCAATGCAATGTGCGGCCAATGCAGTAGGCGCAGCACAAATTGCAGCAACAAGCCGACCTTCTGCTTCCTGATTTTTAAGTAGTTCACCTAAAACGTTACACTTTGACATAGCTTTGGAACCACCAAGTCCACCTTAAGTATAAAATTAAATCATAATTTAATAGGTTGTATATTTGCGGGAAGTAATGTTGACATATACCCGGTAAAACAATTACGTCAAATTGATCAGATTTTGCCTCAAGTAAACTGGTGTCTGGGACAATAACAACATCTCGGGAGCATTTAACTGGTTCGCATCCTTCCAAACCAGCGACTGTGACTTTCACCTATTTATAAATTATTGCACTTGGAATTCAAAGTTATTTTGGCTTAAACGCTAAAAATAGTTCGAAATACATACACCAGCCCGACGTAGCACATCAGCTGAGACTACGAATTCCATTTCCTCACCACCTGGTGCTAATATAATTAATGCCTTTTTGGACATGTTTCTGTGTATTTTTTTAGTAAATTCTAAAGTCGGAATTAAATAATCGTATTTTTTAATATTAAACACTGATGACCTTCGAAGTATGCCAAACATTAGTGATGTGTTAAATATATTCGAATAACGTCAAATGAGTAATCGATCGATTATAATCGGTTAATTGTACTCGGTTAATCGAACTCGGTTAATTCTACCCGGTTTATGATGCACGAATAAAAAGTAATCGAGTAATTAAATCAAATAAAAATGAATAGGTTTTTCTTGAGCAATTATTAACGATAATTATTTAACAAGATATAATAATATAAACAAATTATTTTCGAATATAGCATTAAAATTTTATATATTATATATTTAAGTATTGACGGTTTCTCAATTTTAAAAAATTATAATAATAAATTATATTAGTTAACTTTGATTTAATACTTTAAATAAATTTCAAACAAATAATTATACTACAGTAAAAACTTTGTTAAACACATGAAGTATTTCTAGTCCATAGTTTTCATTTTTCAAACAAAATTCGACAAGAACGGGAGCCTCAACAAAATAGGTTTACGAGTTCACCAAAGTGACATTGTGTGCACACTGAGGATTAATGACTTTGTACTTAAAAAGGATTGAGTAGCGTACTTCTCTAGAGTGTTAGCTTAACAAGTCATGAATGCTAGTTGCACTGGTGCTCTTTTAGGCCTGGTACACAATTGTTGCAAAAATACGTACATGTACGGTCCGTGTACTTAATGTGGTTGTAAAATAAATTAGATCATATTAAGACTGCATACTAGTTTGTGTATACGCAACTTATCTTTTACGATAAGTGATCGAATAAATTATTATTCATAAAAATACTGAAGAAATCAAATTCCAATATATTAACAGAATGTTAAATAAAACAATAAAATGTTATATGAAAAATTAGATTATATCTTTTAAGTTTTTTTTTTCTTATTATATTTAAACAAAATGTAGAGTTTAAATTTACAACATCTAGTCATATTGACTAACAAGAGGTTTTTTTTAATTAATATTACAAGTAAGTTTACATAAGTCTATCTACCATAAGGTGAGCATATAGATCAAATATACCAATATGCATAAAAAAATAATATTGAAGAGTTAATAAGTTAATGAGTTAATATACTTCTTCAGGTGCTTAATAATATAATTTTAGTATATATCAAGCATTGTATATTATTAAATATTTATTTTAAGTTGTAATAATTTACAAATTTTTTTTTAGTGTATTTGGTAAATGTTTGATATGATATAATAATGATATAGAACTGGTTAAATTATTATTGTTATTACTGTTATGACAGTAATGAACATATAAAATATTTGGAGTCATATAGATCTCATGCCCATTGCGATACCATTGAGGTATCAGTATCGGTATTGATTGTGACTAGCTCTGCTAACTTTTAAATCTAGATATTTTCTTAGAAATTGAATCTTTGCATAGACGGAGAGATCCAAACAGAGACACAATGAACAATTAATTGTTTCTTCCATGCCTTCATTCTGACATCTTCAGTAGTAGTTTTTACTAGAGGCAAAGAATTCAGTCCCGTATGTACCTAAAAATTAATGACCATTAATGAAATAATTTCAAACCTATGCAGATTGAAACTACTCCTTGTAAAATTTAAGAGTGAGCGCGTTCTTCTGTGACATATTTTAGTCGTTCCTTAGAAAGGTTTTCTCTTTTTTATGTGTCTATTAAAGTGTATCTACATAGTTGTTTTGTAAGTTGTCTGGTTAGATTGCACGATTACAATTTTGGAGCACTACAAACTGACAATAGATTTTTGTGCATTTAGCGGATCTGAATAATTTTCCCTTCGATAATACTTATTTCTTCAGGTGTTGGACTTTTAAGTAACAAATTTTTGAATGAAACCGTCTAACAATATATAGACGCGACAGATAGCTTGTGCGCTGATGCTACCCATTTAATTTATTTGTTATTGCAAAATAACAAAAAGCCATAAATTGCGAATTTTGTATTTAATATAATATCGATGTACCCAATTTATAAAAAAGTTTGTTTAATATGAGTTAAGGCAGCTTATGCTGTGCGACACAAAATTTCTTTATTAATTTTTAAACGTTTTAAATTTGTGGCTACTAAAATAAAATTTGCAAAGTTCAAAAATTGAAGATTGAAATGTTTAAAAATTTGTCTTAATTCAAGAGATACGAATTTCGTGTTTTCAACAAACTCGCTATGAATAAATAAACATTGTTGCCTTGGATATTGTATCCCATTCTTCGGTTTTAAGAAGAGGTTATGTTTCAAAAATTTCTTTAAATTATTCTGTAAAAACAAAGCCTTTCAAAAAAATTATTGAAACATGACTCCTTTTCCAAGAGAAGTCACCCCCTTCTAGGGAAGATAGGAAATTAAAAATGTTTGTCCATTTAATCATTGCAAGTTTGCTGAAAAACGTATCGATAAAAAACAATAATTTTTTATTTACTTTTTAAAACCTTAATTTTTATTTTAGCTCGTTATTGGCGTCTGTTATGCCTAATGTCCCTCGACAATAAATGCAAACAGATTGAGTAGTTTAAAATTACTCACTTTTCTTGAAAGTTGTTTCTTTATTTATATAAAATTATCTTATAACTAACTTAACTAATTTTCTATCAAGGTTGAAATAATATGTTGTCAGTTATCGCTATTTTTAGTGGATTGTATTATTACATTTTATTGTTGTTTGCAAAAAGGTTCAAAATGGGATACAAGGACGGAAGTCCGGCACTTGGGATTTTTCCTTCTATTGTCTTTTTCACATATATTTTCATAATTGTAATTAGATACGGTGCCTTGTATTTATAATCAGTAATACAATTTATCTATACAAAAGTATATATGGAAATAATGGAATTTCCCTTTGGATACTTGAATGATCAACAATGTCCTTTACAAACAACATCCGGTTGACGATAACATTAGGTTTAGATTATTTATCATTTAAAATAAGCAACATTAAAAGCCGTTTTTGTTGCTTTGTCTATTGGTTTGTAAGACAAACTTAAATTGATAAATATGTGGATCAAATCCACATAACACCTCCGTCCTTAAAGAAAGGCAGTGACAAAGTAATTGTCTTTACTTTTAGAAGCAGATCCTTAATCACAATTGTCTAGAAAAGTCAACATCAACTTGGCCTCCAAAAGCTTCCACTCGATAACTTTTTTTTGTAATATTTTTTACAATTCTAACATATAAATCAACATAAATACAGTAAAGTAAATACAAAAGTATTGTTTTCTATAACATATATCTTAAGTTCTAAAAAATTATTGTATATTTTTTTATTTACCATTCATAATTACATTTATTTCCAGTTTTATTTGTTTTAACTGTTTGATTTTTTTACTATATACTACAATATTATTCGGCAAACGTTTTAGCGATTCTTTCTTTATATTAAAACATTTATTAAATATATTTATGCATAAACTCCCTTTTATACATTTTACAATAACTATTATTAATCTTAGTGTCACATATTAATATTACTTAGATTTAGCTCCATTAATTTTTACATTTAAAAAACAATCATCATGATAATAATATAAATCTTTTAAAAAATAGTTTCGTTTTTATCCTCTGATATAGTAATTTTATAGTCTACAGTTTCGAACTTGCAACTAAAATCAAAATACAATAAACAAACTTCATTCAAATATCATTTTTCTTTAATTTTATTTCTGTTTACACTCATATTCATATTTTATTTCATTTATTACAGCATACAAATATTTGTTACAATTTATTGTCATATATGCCTCAACATTATAATGTATATACTTAATTTGACAATGTTTACTATTTCTTCTCATAAGGTTATTAAGAATACAATTATCCATTTTTATCGTGGATTCGGTTACTAACTCATTAACTGTTATCAATAGTTTCAAATTCATCGCAATTATTGAACATGGCAAAATATTCATTATCCCTAAAAAAATAACTATTCTCTTTTTTCTAATATTAATTGCTTATTTTCCTCAAATACTGCCAAAATTAAGCTAATCAAGATTATTAGTTTTCAACATATCTTTTAATCAAATTTTTTGAAAATTTTCTTGTTCTTTGATTTGTTCGTATGAAAACATTTGTTTCTGTAACCTTTATTATAGTATATGGACCAGTAAAAGTGTTTTTTAACTTTTTATTTTTTGTCAAATTTCTGATTAATATTTTTTGACCTACTTCATAATATGGTGTATCTGTTGCTTTTTTATCATATACTAATTTAGATTTTTCTTTTGAAGCAGTTGTACTCCTTTTTACGTCCATTTCAATGTTCTCTATTATATGTTTAATATTATTCACGTATCCCCCTATAGTTACTAAATCTAAGGCGTCAATTCCACTATTTCCTTTTCTTCCAAAAACTATTACGGGTGAAAAACCCGTAGAGGAATGAGTTGTTGTGTTATAACATAAACCTGCAAACTTCATAGCTTCATCCCAGTTTGATTTCTCAAAATCAACTGTATTCAAATATTCCTTTAACCTTCCATGTACTCTTTCTATAGATCCATTTGCTTGTGAATGAGCCTCACTAGTAGTAATATGTTTAATCTTGAAGATTTTAGCTAAATCTTTCATCAGCTCATTACTCTGTACCATTATCCGTTAATATTATTTTTGGAATACCAAAATAGGTAATCCATTCGTTTACAAAAGCTTGAGCAACCGTTTCGGGACTTTTATCTTTAAGTGGTGTGAAACTCACATATTTTGAAAGACTGTCTTGTATACTTAATGCGTACAAATTTCCAGATTCGGATACTGGATAAGGACCAGTTAGATCCAAATTAATTTGTTCAAGTGCACAAGTAGCATTTGAAACCAGTTGCATAGGCATTCTAGTAGGATGTCTATCAATTTTACCTAATTGACACTTTTTACAAGCTCTTACATAATCTGCAACCATATCATTTAAATTTTGCCACGTATATTTCTCTCTAATTTTCGTAATCGTTGCTTTTTGTCCCACATGACCACCTATAATGCTGTCATGATACTCCTTAATTATTTCTTTCATTTTCAGAAAATCTGTTATCTCGATAACTTTCCCTCTCTCCTGAACATTTTCCTCAATACTGCTTTTCGAGTTTACTTTAACCGATTTATTTCCATTATTTTCAAATTCAATTTCGTCTTGAGCACTTTCCGGTTTTTTATCTTCTTGTTTGCTCTGTTCACTACAGCAACTACAACATTTCTTTTTCTTTTCTTTTTTTATTACTACTAAGACA